AGTCAGAGCTTCCAGTGAATTTAATCATTATTTTAGAAGCCTAGCATAGATTTAATTTATAAGTTGCTTGGGAAGTTTAAATGTTAAAAAAAATATCAATGAATAGAAACAGACGTTGTTTTATATCATAAGTGCCAGTGCCAGCATTGCACACGGATTAAAGTACCATGGTGTTCCTCCCACCCCAGTGCTAAGTCAGCTAACGTTAGCTGCACAAGCTAACTAGTTAATGGTATCTAATACTACTGTTGCAGACAGTTAGCTCTCTGCTCTGTTGCTAAAAAGTTGTAGGTTGATTGACAGGTGTATGGCATAGTATTGTTTGAAAACGCTTAGTTCATGCTTACATAAGCTTGCGTCACAAAAAAGAAAAATGTATATATATAAAAATTTGATTGATACAAAAACACTAAATTCTTTGAGTTTTTGTGTTAAATAATATAACAGCATGTAGTCTTAAAGGATTAAGATTATATTTTACATTTCACCTGGACTTCACCCCAACATTCCTCAACAAAAAATGTCCATAAAACACTCACACACACACACACACACACAATTTTGCATGTTAATACTCAAGTTAAGTTTGTCCAAATTTACGATGGGAAGAAAAGTATTTGCATTTTTTTTCTGGAGCAAAGATGAACACGGCTATTGTGAGAAGTGCCCTTGCACCTTCTCACAAGTAGTGCAAGTCTTATCTGTAGATAAAAGGGAGAGTGACAAACACAAAGTAGAATTGCATAGGCAGGGTATGAAGAATTTATTGTCTAAGATGAATGATTATATTCCCCTTTGTCTGCTTGGCAGCATTATGATGCAGATGTGTACTCTGTTCACAGTAAGTAATTATCTAACTGGCCTGAAAGACAGAAAATAAACCTTAAGGACACTATTTACCTGCTTAAATGTATGTTTGAGGGATCTCCTGCTGTGTAGGTGTGGCATTATGTGGCTTTTAAGTTGCTCATTAAGACCATCATTGTGTAAGCTATATGTTGTGGAATGTTTGTACTATCTCTGAAGAGACTGAGGAAGTGACCTTATGCAGTCGGGTCGCAGGGGTTAAAAGATAAAACGGCGTTGAACCTTTGACATCTATGAATAGTCTAACATTGACAGTTTATGTTGTTGGTACACAGGACAGGTTCAAGAACTTTTGCCTCTCTGTCTATTTATAAAACAGCCACCTCCTCAGTGTGCATTCTGTCGCTGGACGGCATCAGGTTTACAGTGAAAACACGGCAGGTGGTGGTCGGACAGGAGAGGTGACGAGTGATACACGGTGGTTAAATTAGTACTGATGTCCGAGAGTGCATTTGGACTTCGGATCGACTGCCTGTCTGATTGAGTTTCCTGGATGGTGATGTCATAGGTATAGAAATAAACTATTGATGACACCCACACTCAGCTGAGTTTTGAGAATGCAAATGGGGTGTACTACATTTACAGCACAATACATGAATCTGTAATTTTAGTTCTGAGCTTTTCTCTGTTTTCCCTCCAGCCGAACACATACTGTGTGTGTGTGTGTGTGTGTGTGTGTGTGTGTGTGTGTGTGTGTGTGTGTGTGTGTGTGTGTGTGTGTGTGTGTGTGTGTGTGTGTGTGTGTGATGGGCCCCATTTACACCATCCACAAAGAGTATGAGCTAACTATTGTCATGCACATTGCACGGCTTGCTTTTAAAGCCATCTCCTTGTTGTTATTGAGAATGGGCCATTGACTGTTGCTGTTAGACCGTTTAAACTGAGAATAACCTGGTAATGTTCCTCTCACGCCCCACATTTCCACCATTTACCCCCCACTGTTATAGCCGTTTCCACGACAACACATGCCGAGACTGCCTCAAAGGACTAAGCTTGGGAGGGCCTATCAGGCTTGAACCCCAACCAGTTTTTTTGTTATTCTTTTCACCCTTCCTTATTCTCATTCTCTTCCCTGCTGTGTGTTTCGGCCACTATCGGCATGTTAATCTCTTTGGTGCTTTTAAAACGTTGCAGTAAAACAGACCTTTACACCCTTTTGATTCAGCCGTCAATGCTCAAGGTCTAAGTGCAAAAGACACAACTGCCGTCCTGTGTCATTTGGCTGCCTCAACCAGTGGTGGCTACAAGCTTTCAGAGATTGTGGAAAGTGTGTAGGGGAGACTGCGTTGGCCATGGAGAGAGGGAAAGGCTTGTTGAACCAACGGGGTGCTGTGGCCGATTCTCATTGCTCCGAGAATCTGGGAAGGTAAGCCGAGAAAACGTTTCCAGTTTCTGATCCCAGCCAGTACTTTTCGGTCTGAGATAAGACAGGGCTGACTTCAGCAGCATTGAGTAAATATAGGCTAATTGTTGTTAGCTGAGGGTTGTTCAGTTGTTCCATGTTTTTTTTTTTCTCCACCAACCTGTGAGAATTGTGTATTGAGTTGTAAAACTTTTTATTTATCATTTGGACATCTGACTCATACCTGTACTCCAGATATTTTAATTTTTTTTATGATCAGCAGCCCATTTTCTTTCTGATTTGTTCCTTTCTCAATAGACCCTCTGTAAATCCAGGAAAACATGAAAGGCATAGTAGCGGTCCCTGATTTTGCGCTGATGATCACCGAGACTGTCTGATGTAATTTGTCTGGTGTCCCAAGATAGTACTAGAACAAATGCAGATAAAGAAATGGATGAAACTGTAATGCGTTTGTCAGTAATCTCCAATACTCAGAACACATCATGTGAGGTTGCTGTTTGTGCTGTAGTTTTTTTTCTCTCCTGAGACAAATTGTACTGTGAAGCATGTCCAGATAAATATGCCCGTATAACCTCCTGCATGTCTTTTTTTTTTTTTTTTTAAATCCGTTGCTGAAGAGGATCTGATATGCCTCTGCTCGGTGTGAAATGTCAGGCGTGCTAGACCCAACATTGAGTTTATTTAGGTGGTATGATATAGTTCTCCCACAAGGAAGTAGGTTAGAGGTCAAGGCCTCTGACTGGCCATTGCACACCCATTTCAGATAGGCCGCCTCCTGCTTCGTAAACACGACGTGGTCATTAGGAAACACCACTTTTTATGCCCTAAAGAGCTCATTTTATGAGTTTTTTTTTCCTTTCTGTTATTTTTTTTTATAACACTGATAACTGCCATGTTCTTGTTCACCCTTTATGGCGTTGGCCTTGAAACCTTTATATCAGGATCACTCAACTTCTTTCATTGAGACAGGCTTGTCATAAAAAGTACTTCGCACACAAACATGAATGATATTGGATAATTAAATTCTTGCATTTCTTTTTTTTTCTGCCTGATGTCCATGTTTCATAACAGCATAGTGTGAGCCTGCCAGGATAAAGACTGTGGCGTGCTTCCTGGAAGCTCTGCAATAAACTATACACATTAGAATTGAGTTGCTGACGTAAACTGCACATTTAATGAGGGTGATGATGTTGATGTTAAGGAGGCTACAGATAACTTTTAGTCTGGGTTCAGTCATCCGAGCAATACAGGGACAAAATTGCCAATGAATTACATTTTCTAAACTTCAGCATCTGTGGGAAAATTGTGACCTTTTAACCTGAGGTTTCGCTTTTTGTTGAGCACTTTCTTAAATATAGAGCACATCTTACTGAAAAAAAAACTGAGAAATGCTGGTGGCTTTCTGAGTAATACAGGATGTGGCTTCAGTGAGACCTTGTTAATGGTTACGGTTAGTCCTGAATAAATCGAGGAAGTTGTTGAGAAATTCCCAGTTGATGGGTTTTGAATACCGCCTATATTGCCCTGTCTCTTGCCACTTCAACCCCCCCCACCTGGTGGAAATGGGTCAGGTGACCATATTTGAACACCGACAAACCCTCGGCCAGCAGTTCAGCATTGATTAGGAAATTGCTCTCACAGTGTGTTGCCTTTTTTAAACACCAGCCACAGTTGCTTACTTACTTACCCCTCAAAGTGTACTAGGTGCTTTGAATATCTGGGTAAGTGTTGGTTACCTCCTTAATTCTTTGTAGTAGAGAAACATGCAAACTACAGCTAAAATGAAGCTACAACAATGGGTTTTATTTAACATGGCCGATTACTGAACAACTGAAGCTTTCACAACACTTCACAAACAGGAAAACATCTCTTGCATGATTTTTTTTAAAGCCCTATTTGTACCGATATGAGGTTAGGTGTTGCTGGTCATCATTTGATAGTAAAGGAAGACTAATTACAGGCTCGGTATCCAGCTGAAGCTGCATTTGATGTTTTTCTTTTCCTCTGTGACCTTTACTCCAATTACTCAGGTGACGCGGTAGAGAAATTGTTATGAGACAGGGTAAAGGAAAGTTGCACATTCTCCTTTCATAAAGAATCCAGTTGGGAGAAAAAAATTATTGTGCAACTAGTTTTTTTTGTCAGTGTCTTTTTTTTTTTTTTTTTTCAAATGTCTGACTTCCGAGTCTTCCTAAAATGCACTCAGTATGTTGTGCTTGTGTTGTACTTCTATCTCCTTGGTATAATTGCCTGCGGGGAAATATGGATAATGCACCACTCCTAGATCGCGCCAGTTGGAGCACTTCAAAAGTATTTTACTCGCTCACTCTCACACACACACAGCTGTTTTCAAAATGATCTGATCTTGCTTTGGCCTACCAGAACAAATCCCAACAAGACAGACATATTGTATAATGTTTCTCAGTGGAAGGTTTTATGGGATGGGCCTTGTTTTCTTAAACATGTCAGTGCCTGTATGCGCTCCTGTATGCGCTCCTGTGTGTGTGTGTGTGTGTGTGTGTGTGTGTGTGTGTGTGTGTGTGTGTGTGTGTGTGTGTGTGTGTGTGTGTGTGTGTGTGTGTGTGTGTGTGTGTGTGTTTTTTTTTTTTTTTTTTTTTTTTTTTTGTGTTTTTTTTTTTGTGTGTGTGTGTGTGTGTGTGTGTGTGGGGGGGGGGGGGGGGGGGGGGGGGGGGGGGGCCCGGGGGAGTGGTTAAGTTTGACGTCACCCACTACGGAGTGTCACACCATTCTCAACACAAAGTGGCTTCCTCTTACTAGCGCATTCATACTGCAACACAGCAACAGTTTTTTCTGGCAGGATGTGGCAAAGGACCCTGACTTAACTAGGACAACAACACATTTCGAACACTAAGAGGACTTTAAAAAAACAAACTTTTCAGCATTGTATTATCTTTAGTCTCTTTTAGTAATCTAGTATTTTTTGCTTGTTCTTGTTTTTTTACTTCTTAGCTTTAATGCCGTGAGGCCACTGAGTATAGCTTACAGATAAAAGAGTTTAAGAGTTATTTTAGTTTTGATTTTTCCATAAGGAAAGGAAATGCCTACAGTCAGTAGGTATATGAGTTTTCGTTCATCAAAGCGATTTAAAATTACCAGGTAAGCCGCTCTGTCGTTGTTTGTCTTCAGTAGTTTTGTTAAAGGTTTTGATTCATGTCAATACTGTCGTCTTTCAATGAATTTGTGGCTCGTTCCTTCCTGGTCAAGGACAGGTGGTGGCTTTTTGAAGTAGTAGATCCTGCAACTTTACAGGACAGATTTATTTACAGTTCATTGAAATTGCATTGTCTGTTTTTAGAGCATCTGCCTACGTTGAGCAGCTTGTAAAGCAGCCTTCAGCACTGACGTGACATATCAATAAAACATCTCCGGAAAAGGCTAACCTTTCCCAGCACGCCATAAAGATAAAATCTCTCTGTGCCAAATGTTAGTCTAGCCATCACATAGCCTTTAATTTGAATAGAGATGGAGGGATTTTTTTGTTAATAAGACCTTTTGAGCAATGCATTATAACACACCCAAACCCAAGTCAATGTAAAACCTGATACGTGCTGTTAAAGAGTATTTTATTATCATGTTCTTTGGTGCTTCATGATGATTCAGTACAGGAGATTGTGACAGACAATTTCTGAATGTACTGTTCTACAGAAGTGAAGAGTTTAATCAGTGGGTGTCTCAGCTGTGACTGTTTTTGTACTTTTTAATAGTCACATAATGGTGAAATGCAAATAATCGTGCTGTGTTATGCAACGTTCTTGCCGTAACTCTTCCAAGAGAAATTCCACATGTGACTGTAAAACCTTATTTTGGTGTTGCTAAATATGTTTGTTTTTTGTTTTGTTTTGTCTTTTTTATTTTTATTTTCCAGCAGCTACCCAGTAGAGAGCAGTGGTGGCGGGCTGCCAACCAAAGTGAAGAAAAGCAGGAGCAGCTTAAGCAATGGCAGCATCAAGAAGGTGGAGACGAGGAAAGCCTTGAGCTTGGAGGCGGCCCAGCTCGAGATCCAACAACAGCACAAAACCCTCACCAGACAAGTAGCCATCAGGTAGGACTAATGGGGTTTGAGTCAGGAATTATACAAAAGGTCAGAAGATGGCAAAGATAATGGCTCTAAATGATATTTATAAAAACAACCTTAAAAAGTCCTCAATACAGTTAAATATCATCCTTTAAATGCACATACAGAGGTGTTAAAATTTTGCAAATTCATGGTGAGTCACACTATGTGAAACAGCTCTGTATTCTGATAGGCCAAGAGATTGTCTTACTTTCACACTTTCCAACTTGTTAAATAGTTTAAACATCTAAAAACCAAAATGAAGCAGTTTTATTTTTTATTTTTTATTTTTATCTTGCAGACTAAGTGGGGACAATCTTATTTCTCAGTCTGGAAATGCATAAAAGCACACACTGGTTGTAGTGGAGCTCTTCTGAACATGTATCACAAGACCTGACCTGACTCTCAGCTGCTGCTCAGTCGTGACACCCGCATGACTGCACAGCCGTTGTACCCTGACTGTGTTCTCACATGATTCAAATGTGTGATGTAGATTTGTAATATTTGTTAGTGTAAAGAGCGATCTTCATCCCCACTGCTGCCTACGCGACGAGTGGGATCACCCAGCCACTTCAAACATATATCATTTTGGGTTGAGGAAAATCACCACTAACCACAGTTCAGTCAAGGAATAGGCCTATTTTTAAAAATCTGGATTTTTACAGTGGGCATGGTAAACACTAATCTGTGTAGCATAGGCATCTAAGTTCTATGATGGTTTAGTCACTTCTTGTGTCAACAAGTACAAATAATTCCAGTTGACTGTTTTACTTTTTTTAACATTCAACTCCTTTTTCACACTGTTAAAACTTAATTCAGCAACTTTAGCGGGTTTCTTTGGTAACGCAAAGTGGGTTGGAGAGATAGCCTTCATAGCGTCATAGTGTGCGTTCATGTAGTGTCTCTTTTATCTTCTCATATTAGTTTAAACTTGCTGACTTTCTTTTAAACTGACAGCCGTGCTCTTTTGTCTCTACAGGTCGGAGACGTTCGATGTTGACAGCAGAGGCTTTGAGAGAACGGAGGGCACCGGCACACAAAGTGTAAGTCCGCCACAAGTTTTTATTTAAACATTTTGAAGAAATCAATTATTTGGAAGTATAGACATTTCTGGTACTTTTTAATGCACCATAATATTAATGCTGTTTGGTAAATGGGTCTGTGGCCTCAAACTAGACCAGTGCTTTTATTGAATGCTGCTCTTGAGCCAAGACAGCCCATTGTCTGCCAGTGCCCACTGTCCTGATTTTTGCTTTGATCTTCTCTCATTTAGAGTTTTATGAAGCACAACAAGACATTCCACAAGTTGTTTCCAGAGATTTCCAAGAGTGAAGACTTGATACATGGTAAGCAAAAAAAAAAAAATGAAGGGGAAAATGAATGACTTCATGAATGAATCACATAAATCTAACAAATGTTTGTGTTCCTCTCCCAGCATACATCTGTGCCCTGCAGAAGGAAGTGCCCTACCATGGTCGGCTGTACATCACTGACACCCACGCCTGTTTCTACTCCTCAGTTCTGCTCAAGGACACTAAGGTAGGTTGCCGCTCTGCCCTGGCTCCTCTTTGACTTATTACAGTGTTGTATCATTATATTTTTAAATTATATTAATGAAATATTTCACTTTAAAATTTTCTTGTAGTGATTCGTGACCACATAGTTCCATGAAACAATTTCTGAAACAGACTTCCTGACTTTCTCTGTTTTTTGCTCTGTGCTCTTGCAGGTAGTAGTTCCAGTTTCCTGCATCCACATAGTGAAGAAGCAGAACACAGCTTTGCTGGTACCCAATGCCTTGTCCATACGCACCACAGAAGGAGACAAGGTCAGTTTCTTACCTCCAGCCCTGAACAGTCATCTTTTATAAACACCTGATTAGGCTGTTCAAAGTCAAATATAAGCCTTGCCACACTGAACTCTGCTAGTTTGATATAATAAATCAATAAAAAAATCAGTGAGTGTATTTTATAGTTCAGTTTTGCCAGCAGGGCAGATGGCTAATATCGTTTTTAATTCCCTCTCATTGTGCAGTTCCTGTTTGTGTCACTGCGGAACAGAGAATCATGTTATCAGCTGCTGCGTTCAGTATGTCCTCAGATAGAGGTGAGTTGCCCAGGTCAAATGTTGTTTTAGATATCTGCAATGGTAAATGTGATACAATTGTAGGGAAAACAATACATCACACTAACAGTAATTAAACACCGTAATCAGGTTATAATCCTATTGATCCTGTATGATATAAAAATAATTCAGTCAGACATTGAGTTCTGGTTATCTATTGAATTTTGAAACGGAAAGAGAGCAGCAACCCTGGTATTATAACCTTGTTGCATGTCTCTGAACATTATGTGTATTTATACTTGGACTAAATGGAGATTGAGTATGCACAGTATCAAATCAATTAGCCAGAACTTACTCCATAAAAAATATTATTAAGTTAAATGAAAGTTCCTTTTCAAAAATGCTTAAATCAAAACATTTCTCTGTGTTACAGGATGGCAGCACAAATAGTAGCCCCATCTTCTCCTCAGCTGAGAACAGCTTTGATAGGAGCAAACTTGTGGTAAGAGACCTTTTCTTAATATTGCAGAATTTAAAATGTCACACATTATTGTCATTTGACTGAAACATTTTTTTCAAGGAGCACATAATGTACCTATTCTTAAATGTCTAGGAGCACATAATTGTGAATATGGCTGAATTGTAGGATAGGCCCGTTTGTGACTGCATTCCTTGCTCTCATACCTCAACAGAACTCCAGCCAGTCCAGTCTCGACGACAGCTTCGACCAATTTAATGGCTCGGAGTTACAATCTTTGCAGGAGCAGCCTCTGCACAGACCACACAGAGGTGAGAGGTCAACTCCAGTTATTTAATCCTTTTTATATTCTGTTTACATGCTAAACAGCAAACGCAGTTAATATAACCATCATGTATGACATAGAAATCTAAACGCATTGAAAGTAATGCTAATCCTCGGCTGACACAACCGTGCATGAATGGATAAAAATGTTTTGGTGCCGGTCTCTCTCGCTTTCATTTCTGTTCTAGCCAGTTGACATGCAAAGTCCAAGGTCTAATAACAGGCTAACATGAGTTTCTTTTTCCCCACCTCTCTTCCTCCTTCAGAGCCAGTGCCTACTGACAACAGCTCGGCTTTCAGGAGCCTTCACATGCAGCAGAGTGATAGCTCGTCCTTTGAGGAGCTGTCAGTATCAGGTACGACTAAGATCACTGACCAGCTGTCTCCTGGAAAACTCTGACAGGGGTTGCTAGTTTATTTATCATTTCAAACTGGCTGGTGTTTAATCCCCAGATAGACAGATGCTAGCAAATATAAATTTAGTAAGTGTTAGTTGGAAGATGTCTGTGATTTAAACCTTCATAGTTACAGAGAAACTCTGAAAATAAAGAAATCATTTATTTTTTTAATCATAATAGTTTTCATGAGTTTAAGATTAGGTTTTCTCATAGCTTCATTTTGCTTCTCACGCTCCACAATCATGTATAAAATATACAACTTTTGAACTTGCCATTAAATGAAATAAAGCTTGAACCTACCAACATGAGAACCTTTTTAATATTCATGCTAGATTTACACTTCCTTTTCCAGGTTCAAGTGGATCGTGGGTTTGGAATGTGACAGAAAAGGCCAAGTCCCTGCTGGTTCAGAGAGAGGCCAGCACCCTTAACACTCTTCTCTTCATTTACTTGATTTTGTGAGTAGCACTTCCTTTCTATAGGGTGTCCTGTCTTATCCTCTCTCCCTCCCTTCTTGCTTTTAATCCAGTGCTTTATCTTCCTATGTGCTAATCTAAATCTGCTTCTCATACTCTCAAAGTCACAATCCTTCAAGGAAATAGAGGAATTTTAGAAACCTGCCCTGTTACTAACGAACTAGGTGATCTGGTTGGATCTCTTTATGTAATGGAAAATCTAAAGCAGCTGCTGCCAACTTGTGTGTGTGTGTGTGTGTGTGTGTGTGTGTGTGTGTGTGTGTGTGTGTGTGTGTGTGTGTGTGTGTGTGTGTGTGTGTGTGTGTGTGTGTGTGTGTGTGTGTGTGTGTGTGTGTGTGTGTGTGTGTGTGTGTGTGTGTGTGTGTGTGTGTGTGTGTGTGTGTGTGTCAGTTTTTGATTGCTAACACAGGGAATGTGCAACATTCCCTTAAACTGTAGCCATTTCCCCCCCCCCCCCCCAGGGAAATATAAATATTGGCAGTGTATTTTAGTGATATGCAAATATGACACTCAGTCCATTAAGTGCCAGTTAAAAGGACTATAAAAATATAGGCATTAATCAAATCTTTAGCTGTTGTTGGTTCTCCATGGACCTGCTGTAAGCTGAAATCATGAACATTTATCACAGTGAATAAATAGGCAATAAATGTGACTTGTCGTATTTTGTCTGTATGTTACAGGGTTGTGCTGCTACTGCTGTCTTCTGGCTACATTGGTTTACGTATTGTGGCCCTGGAGGAACAGCTGACATCTTTGGGGGCGCTGCCTGAGTTCACCTTACAGAGTGGGTAAGAATCTTTCTCTTTCGATTTCAGTCTTTTATTCCTCTTGGCCCTCCGTTCTCTGATTACAAAGCGACAGAACCACACCTTACAGGGTGGTTGCCAAAGAAGTGAAAGCGTTGGCATGAGTGTGTGTATACCCAAAACAGCAGTTCTGCCTCACAACTGCACTGTTAAATTTAAGACAAATACATTAAAGTTAGCCTTATTTGTGCCCAGTCCTCACTGATTACACAAACAGACACTTGTAGGTCAGACAACTACAGCGTAGTTTCACCAGTGTCTAAAAATGATAAACGTCGTTTTGGTTTACATAGGTACAGTCAATCACCCCAACACATGCTGTGGTCACACTACAGAGTACAATATGCACAGACACAACTTAATTATAGGTGAAGAGGTCTTGTGTCAATTTGAATATTGCAAAAAAAAAAAGCATACACGGCTGTTACAATGTTGTCGGGTGTTGTTTGCGGAATATAGTTATCTACTTTTGGTAGTGTTTACTGTGTTGCATAATTGGCTTTGTTCTCTGACAAGAGAACAGGGCAAATTGATCCTTATTAATAGGTGCAGCCTTGCTGCCCAGTCACTAAATACTTGTGTATTGTTAGGTGTGTATTTGCTTTCGATATGCCACACTCAACTGGCTCCCTTTTGTGTTTTCACAGGTACCAAGACACATAACACTCGGTGACTGAAGGAGAGATTGGTTGACTCATGACTGGAGGATTATTTCGGCCTCTTCCAGCAGAACACAGCGGGAGAAATTTCATGTACTCGGACTGTGCTCCCGACACGGCCTCTGCTGTTGGCTAGAGGAAAAATGGCCAACCCGTGCAATTTCAGAGACAGCTTCTAAACTTGAAGGGCTATACTTCCTCCTAGTGCAGTAGACAAATGGACATGCCACGACTTAATCACACAAGGCCGAGCCAAAATGCATACGCACACTGCCTGGTTGCAGCGTGTCTGTCGTTCAAACCAAAGCCAAATGGCTCTAACTTACGTGTAGCAAAGTTGACGGGCACTTTCCTGACAGAAACTGTTCCACATCTGTGAACCTATGTTGTCCATTGTCTTTCATATACATACTCCTCTCCCTGAGCATGCAGTCTGAACAGGGCTATACCAATCAGCATTAGCCTGCTGTAGTGCTTAATATTGCACCTCAACACCAGAGATGTAGTGCTATGCATAGCCAAAGATGCACACGGTGCACATCTTTTGCATGAATGCACGGAGATGACTTTTAAATGATTTTCTATCTCTTTACCGTTCCATCTATCAGTGGTATGTACAAATCTGTCTCTGTCCTTTTTAAATTGAGTAACTGTCGGGTACTGCTATTCTATTCGGTTCTTATCTTCCTAATCAGCTGTGGGTTGAAATGATGATGGCTCAAAATCAGATCAGCCCATTTAGGCTCGATACTCTCCTGATGGTCTTATCCTTTCTCTTTTTCTCCAACCAGCAACGATTGCAGCATAACTTTCCTTGTCTTTGGTATGATTTAAACCAGTTTAATGATCAATGTTCAGAGGTTTTTTTTTTTTCTCTGCAGTCTCAACTGGATGAATGCATCATCAATGCATAAATATTTAGCACAATAGGACACAAGGAGTTCATCTCAGAGGCATCAAGATGTTTTTGTGTACCTTTTTCTATGACTTTGGTCTTCAAGAGTAGATTTAAAACCTGTCTGGTTCAGATGTCTGACAGGCCTCTTGAGGACCAAGTGGCATTTCTAGACTTTTCAGGTCATTTAAAGTAGCACCAATAATGTATTTCTAATGTTCATGCATGTGTCTGCAATATCGACACTTGACTGATACTGTATATGCATTCTCACTCTTGCCACCCAAAGAGGAGAATGTACAACCACACTTGCCGTAAGGTCCAAGTTTTCAACAGCAAAAAAAAACAAGTGGTCCCAAGAAGAGAATTTCAATATGCAACAAATTATTATGCATGGCAAAAATGTAATTTATATTTGTGTGCTTTGTTTTGTTTTGTTTTTTTAAATGGAGCTTGATGTTTTTGGGGGAAGAAGTTGTGTAAGAAACAAAAAAAAAACAAAGATGTGAGTGAAAGAAACGGCTCAAGCGAGCGAGCGCACTTTAAAAAATGTGTTGTGCCTGTCACAATCCAACACACCGTATTTTTGGATTGAGAAGAAATGGCAAAGCTGGCGTTCTGTGGTATCTGACGGTGCTAAGACCTTTTTTTAAATTGTTTTCACTCAGGGGTGGTGGGCACTACCTGCCACGGGGTTTTAGGTTGTCATCTTTTTCTTCTGTCATTTCAAAGTCTAATACTTGTGATGGGGGTTCACATTTTTCAAACGTTCTTGGCTTTGGTGGTTTCTCAGATGCCACTTTGAGAAAGAACACTATTTCATTGAGATTCACTTGACTTTTCTAACTGATGTAACTATTCAGCTTCTCAGAATGCTTTTTTTCTCCCCCCCTCCCCCCCATATGACTCTTTTAAAACTAACCTAACAATGCATATCCACATCTCAATGATTTCACATCATCCTCGTTGTGGAAGCCCTTCTTGACGAGGTGTAGCGAGTGGGTTTACTTTTGCTACACCCGGTTTCAAGATGGTCTTATGTTTAGCTAAGGTTTTTTGTCGACATGCCACATACAGTACTGTCAGTTCTTATATTCCCCCACCAGGGGGCAGCACACACATCCACTGTCCTTGAAAGGACTCAACGCAAGAATCTCAATGATGAGGGCAGTATTTGTGTGGTTTTGCACTATTGAAAGTGTTGTAAATAATTTTGTATCAATTGTTAATGTCCTTAATTCTACTATGGTCCTATATATTTATTTGCATTCTGTGTAATTCAAAGTAGTCTCTGTGAGATGGCTTTGCTATTGTTCAAAATAAATCAAATGTTGCGAAGTTAATGTTTTGTGTATTTGCTGTTACTTAACTCCTACATGAGACCTGATTGAATGGATAGAAAATAAACCTGATCAAATAAAGTTTGTAAAGTAGAAGTAGGTAAATTGGAAAAAAGTGAAAACCTTATGATGTAATACATAAACAGAAATTAACTTAAAATCTTTACATTCAGTGAAATCAGATATACAAAATTTGGCACCAAAAAAATACAGTTGCTGCAAAGTTTCTAATGCAGATCTTGGTTTGACAGAGACCTGTCAGTTTTGAATTTCTTATTTGATGGATTACAAGTAAACTATAAATTTGATGGAATCTGGTTAGTAAGACTGAATATATTCATTAACAATAATGCACCCCTACTTACAGTGAATACTTTAATGCTAATTTATTCTCTATTGCTTTTGCTCTATATATTTTTTTTTATTATTTTACTATTCTAGTCTCTTATCCAGGTCATAGGATATTTAAGTCAAAGACAACTAACTGTACTTGCTTTATAGATTTCTCCTCTAATGCAAAAAGATTTTTCACTTTTGAGCTGAAGAAATTTACATCTTAAAGCAAACTGCAGCAAGTCTAGTTGCCTTTGATTTAGCACTTCCAGATATTTTATCATTTCCATTTCTTTTGTTTGTTTTTTTTTATTCTAAAGGTATATTTAGATACTAAGAATGACCTTGATGCCCCACTGGTATCAGTAGTTTAAGTTAATCTACTACCTTTGCTGCTCCTAAGCTGTCAGTTGGACTTGATGATCAGCCAATTTGTAACCAGTTTTTAAAATCCAGTCCGCAAGACTTTTCTTTGTTAGTGCAAGTTAGGTGAATTCCCTCTGTGACAGAGGTATTATCTTTTTTGTGCCTCCTGTGTGTGGCATAAGACCACCATCTAGTGGAGAATCTCATATACACCAACAGAAAAAAAAAGACTGTTCTAGGTAATGTAGTTGTCAAATTAATTAATCTACCAATTACCACTGAAAGAAGGTAAGATGTTTTGTAAATGTCTAGATTAAAAAAATATTGTTGTCATTGAATTGGAGTTGAAGTGAAACCACACAAGTTTCTATTTATTCCATTCTAGGAACTCAAAAGCAGCAGTGACCTCCATTTCAACATTCTTCGAGCTAATCATTGTGTTCAGCTGTCAGGGTTACTTGAAGGAGCAGGTTCGCCAGTAGTCCGCTGGTAAGCACAGAGCTGAAAAACACCTGAAAGAAACCAAAGGCAAGTCTTTGTCAGAAGATTAAGAAACACTTTTCTCCAAATATAATAAATCATTTTTAAATGACATATCCATACTTTTAAAAAATCATCTCACTATGAACAATAACTGTTGTAAAAAAAAAAGAAAAAAGAAAAAGAATAGGCCTAAGCATTTTCTACCAAAGCAGCAGTGGATCAATGAACTTTTAAATATTGAATTACTATAAAACAAGACAAAAAAAGAACCAAAAGACATTATAAGATATTGCTTATTTAAGAGCTCACTGGTTTAATGCAGAGCCTTAGGCACCGTTTCAATTAATTTGTTCCCCTTGACTGCTTTGTAACCATCTATACTGAGGTGGTTTTGCCACTATACAATATCATCATGATCATCATCATGTTATGTTTGATAGACAATAAACAATTTTAACGAAATAAATAAGACCCATGAATAAATAAAGACAGTTAATACCTGCTGCAAAAGCCAGAATGATGGCCACCCAGCCGATGATGTAGGACCAGGAAAAGCGCCAGTCCAAGAAACGTTTGCCAAAGAAAGTGACAGTCACTCCGGTGTAAATTGCCAAAGCCAGCAGGGCAAGAAAACCTGAGAATGGAGGAGAGAGGAAACTTTAAAATTATTATCATTAAAGTAAAACATGAAAACAAGCAGACCAGATACATTTAAGAAACTCCCACTAATATAACCTGTCAACATACTGTTTAATAAAGTGTACAATATTGCATTTAACAAAAGAGTTATCCATCAAAGTGTGGCACAGCTTTTTAACCTAAACCCTGGGTATCCACTGATTGCAGTCTGGCCACTGTTGTGAGGCCATTGCAAAAAGGTCCCACACAAGTCCAGTGAAAATACAGCTTATTTTTGGAACTGACCGCTGATTTCCCTGCAGTTACTCTATAATCTTCTACTCACTCTGCCTCGAAGAACTACAGTCAGCTTGATAATCAGATGAACTTGCTACATTGAACAAACTTACAAGCTAAGTTTACAACATAGTATCTGCAACCGGGCACCCTGTGTGTGTGTGTGTGTGTGTGTGTGTGTGTGTGTGTGTGTGTGTGTGTGTGTGTGTGTTACCTGACAGGACCAGGGCGATGCCGCCTGTACGGACCCTCCTGTTCTTGGTGCCATTAGTGAAGGCGCTCAGGCCGAGCACCACACCGGCGAAGCAGCTCAGCACCGCCAGCAACATAAAGGCCCGTGTAGCATCCCAGAAGGCTGGACACACAAAGGTCAGGAGCACACACACATCAACAGATACTTAGGCTTAGACCTGGATTGGAAAAGATCAGTTTGTCATTTTGCCAGTATTAGCACTCACAATATGGAGTTCCTCTGCAATTGGGTCTAATTGATTGGTCATAATGAATTTTCTGCTGATTCTCCCTTTAATCTGCTCTTCTTTTCTTTTGCCTTTTCTTTCAAACACTATTGGTTTAAGTTTAGAGTTCTTTAGACCTAATTCAAGTGGAACGGCTTTGGCTTAAAGAAATTACTAAGAAATTGTTAGTTGTTTTCTTGATAGACCAGTTTAACTAGGATTTTGACCTGGCTGTGTTGTCACTGTGTTTGAAATCAAACCTTTGTCTTTTCCAAGTGCCACCTCTGAAGTACTCACCTACAGTTATGGTGTGGGCATGGCATTTGTGGTTGATGCAGAACCTCCAGAGTCCCTGATTGGCAGAGCTACCCGAGTATCGATACTGCATCCAGAAGTCTGTTGCTGTAGAGACGATGAGAAGTACGAGGGCAGCCACGCCGCAGAGTGTGCCTCCTCCCGCCAAACTATACAGCATCGTGGAGAAGCTGGGGGAAGCGCTGTCCTCCTAAACATTCAGCAACTATTTAGGGAAGAGAAGACATGTTGGAGCAAGGTGTATCATTTTGACCTCATACTAATAATAATTTTACTCAATGATGCCCTGAATGCATGCCTTAGTCAAGTCATTCATGTAGATTGACATTGTCACCTGTTTCCTATCCCATTTTAGAAGCAATTTATTCTGTTTAGCAAGCTGATTGGCTGTCAACAAATTCTCTCTGCTGTCTCTGAGTCTGCATCAGGCACTTCAGACAAAAATATCCAATCATTATCTATGTCTGTTCAAGATAACAAAGTTTCCTTGCCAGTTCCACATTCCAGTCCTACGTTATTTTTCAGCATTCCCGGATGTGCTCCAGGTCTGAATCGGAGGTGTCCCAGATAACTGACCTCCTGCAAACCTGCCGCCTCTATTTTAGTATGTGAGCCAGGTTGAGGTGCATTATAGATTGATCACATCTCTAATACTGATAGACACTACACAACTAAATGGCCAAGAATAAACCAAACCTTTAAAACAGTTTAAAAAGAAAAAGTAATTTTTCTGGTTTTGAAATATTTCCATATGACCCTCATTAAGCATTTTTTGTTTTAAAAAATAGAGAGAGATTTGGAATGAACATTTCGACCATGCATGTGCTTTAGAGAAGAAAGTGAGTCATTCTTCCGCGATGCTGTCAAATTGGTCATAGCCAGCAAAGCACTTGAGCCAAACCGCTGTTATGACAATGAGCTTGCCTATCAGGCAGTTCAGAGCCATTGTTCGCCACTAATTCCCCTCTATGCACCACAAACTAATCTTTCAACACTGAGCAACTGAACTGTCAGCAGTGTCTCTCTCTGTCACACAGCCAATGATTTCATACACTGATTTAAACTCCTATACTCCTCACTGCAGCTCTTAAAACCCTCCAAATTCCAAAATCACATCCAAATTACGCCTATACATCTGATTCCCAAATGCGTCTCACAATATTGTTAGTCTTGTCCAGAAACATGAACAAACATCAGGGTCCCAGGCCCAGTTTGTCAGCTGTTAAGATTGTTTCCCTAGACATAGGTCTCCAAACTTCATCTCTTCTGCCTTTGTAGTTCCACTTCCACTCCAAAAACAGGTTCTTAGTTGTTGACAAGCCGTCAAACAAAGTCGTATCCTCCTGGAAGTTGAGTAAAAATCAATTCTGTGTAAGTCCACATTTTCTTTTCTGATACCTCTGGGTTGGCTGGTGTCTCTCCAGGGTTGCTGGCTCTAACAGTGTGCCTATCCTTTTTAAGCCCTGTACCCCTGGCTCTCATTGTCCACCTCACAAAGGAGGGAATGATCGAGTGCAGCATGTGAGTGATGGCAAATCCCCCTTGCTCTCTTCTCTGCAGTTACCTCCATCCCTCCATCACCCCTCGGCCTCTACAACCTCTTGCACGTTCTCTATTTCACGTGTCCTGCGTGACCTCTTTTCATCCTTTCCCTTTTCTCTTCACTTTCCTTCTCGTGTTTTCTCAAAAGTAGCTGATCATGCCTGGCATCTACAGTAAGTGCACCATTAGATTCTTTTCTGTTGTGTGTGCATCCTGCACCTACCTGTGTGCATGGGCAGTTTGTATCTAAAGTGTAACCTAAAACTACCTATATTAAATCATGAGCAAGTGCAACATGTGGTATTAGACAGCCACTATTTTATTATTCAGTTTGTACCCTTTCATTCCACATTTGTGTACACAAACATTGTTTAAAACCACACAGGTTTCAAATGACACTCAATATGCCATTGTGAGTCACAGATAATATGATGCATAATATGATAACCCATGACATATTTTTCCACACACACTCTTCTCTCCCAAATCCATCAGCTTTCTGCATAGGTGCACGGTAAAAGTTCCTTAGATCCTTATTTGTAGAAGTGATGTGACCAGATTTGTGCTTTCACATTGTGCGGTCCAGGAGCATTCCTATCTTTAAAGTGCCTTTTTACCATTGTTTAGACTTCGGACGGACAATTTCACTTCTTTGGTCATTTTGTATAGGAGATGCTGTCTGATTGGCAATATATTCCATTTTAAAGTTTACTCTACACCACTAAATGTCGTCTGGAACACTTGTTTTTTTTTTAGGTTGCTAAAACTTCAGACCAAACATTTTCTTGTTCCCATGTTGCAGTTTATCTATTTAGTTTGTCTGGAACACAACAGTTAAAAATTTTTTTTGTCTGTCTGTGACACATTTCCATATGACTGAAATTCCAAAACTAAACATGATGTATTTTAAACATTGTGTAAAGCACTAATTATTATGACTTTTTCAATAGTAACAGATGTGGAATTTATACAAGTGTGCACAAATGCCAATGAATGGTCATTTTCCGCATTACAGTGACATTGCAAGAATTTACAGATGACAAGGCATATGAGAAAATATCAAAATAAAACTGCAAATAAATAAATAAATCTTTTGACCAATCCACACATCCACAAATCTATACAAATGCTACAAAAAAGGCACATTATGATATGCATAACCAAATGTGGCTTCTTTCCACAATATCGAGTCCAGCTCACTGCTACGTATAGAAACTATAGAAACAGCAGTGCTTTCCCTTCTAAAGTGACCTTCATATTTTGTTTTATTTTGACCAAGTTCTGACTATAGCTCACTAAAATGTAGTTTGGCATTGTGAGAAAAAAAAAAATTATGTGAAGTGCTTGCAGTGAACTGACTCAGGCCTTTCAATACAGGCATTATCAGTTATCTCTATGTTCAAACTTAATCTTTGTAGGCTCCAAAGGGTTAATCTTCGTGCTTTACTTAAAAAAGAAGAGGTATTAAGTGATCACACGCACACATACCCTAAATAGGTTCTGAACCTCATATGAATTCAAGCTAATATTTAATGTTCTGTCTTGTTCTGATTAGTTTCCTTTTTAATTTGTTTTATGATAATTACACTCAAACTGCAAAGCCAAATACAAACACATATTGTCAGAATGCTGCATTTGCTATCACACACACCAGACATATACAGTAGTATTTAAAACACACGTGCACAACCAAGACTTTAAAGTGACTGGATTTTCCACCTCAAACACACATCTCTAACACAATTTATACACACACACACACACACACACACACACACACACACACACACACACACACACACACACACACACACACACACACACACACACACACACACACACACACACACACACACACACACACACACACACACACACACACTTAACTCTAAACTGAGCAGCACAAACAGCTTGATGCTCACAGTATGTTTGCACACAAACATCCATCCATACACACAGGCATCTGCAATTAGTGATCCCATGCTGGGATGTCTGCAGACACCGTGTTCTTGTGCTTCCTGCTGCTGGTAACCAGTCTCTCTCTAGTGAATAGCTGAGGGGCCTGGTGTCCAGAGGATGACAGTTCGATCTGCAGAGGAGGAAAGGAAGGTCCGGTCATGGGGGTGCCACCTACACTGGATCACCTTGTCCCAGTGCTCCCCTGCCACGGTCTGAGGGAGGGGCTTTGTTAGGTCACCTGGGGTCAGAGAAAAGAACAGTGTCACACAGGAGAGGCTAACAATGGGATCAGACACCAGACACTGACAGCACTGGAGGCCAAATGATCAAATATATGCGAGTATATGACTCTTTCAATGGTAATAAAAAGGAACATTTCTCATGAACTGAAAAAAAAAAAAATACAGTTTAACTGCTTTTTTTGTATTGTCAAAATTTTCATTAATTAATTTAATTTAATTATAAATTTATAATTGAACATGGTGTAAATCTTGAAATACAAAATAAGGGGCATCAAGTAACCTATTCAAAATCAAACATTTAATTCAAATTATATATATATATATATATATATATTTTTTTTTTTAAACTCTTTTTAGAGTATGTGTATTATGTTACACTGTACTGTAAGTCATTTTGTAGAGTTTCTACCTTGAAGGTCACTGATGATGATTTTGTTGTCATAAGAGCCGGTGAGGAGATGATGGGCTCCAGGTGAGAAGCGCACTGAGCGAATGTCACTGCTGTGGGGGCGGTATGTCTGGACTATACGGCCTCCTTTGATGTCATACAACATGCAGGTACTGTCCTCCTGACCTGTGGCCAGCAGGCGGCCGCTGGGATCCACTGCCACCGAAGCAACTGCACTTCCTGTGTGAGAGTGGTAATAAGTAAGAGGTTTGCTGTGACTGGCTGCAGCTTACAATTTGGTTTTTTTCTTTACCAAGATTTAAACTCAAAAAGTGTGGTAAAAATGATCCCTCTAGTGAGAGTCATGCTGTGACTCACCTGAGCCGTGCAGAGTTGTGCCCACCACCCGGACACAGCTGGGAACCCGCAAATCCCAGAACCGGACTGTCTTGTCCTGGGACCCAGAAGCAATCATCCACCCTCCCCACGTGTATAGAGTCAAAATGTGACCTGTTCAAGCAAAATGGAATCTTAATTACGGGATATGTGAGATCTTCACCTTCCTGTACTACTATCTCAAGGTACTGTTCCTAGGCCAAAATCCACCAGGGGCGCGGCTGCACTACGACTGCTGGAGCAGATTATGCCAGTTCTAGAAAATGCTTGTGATTCCACCAAATGCTGAGAATATGCCGGAACTGCAGATCAGATCGCACTGGCAGGAAGTCAGGTGCAGAAATGCCATAGAGAATCCGGTCAATTTTCAAAATAAATACCCCGTGCAGACTTTGATTCCTTTTCTTTACATCAAAAAAAGTATAAAATAACAACAATAAACACAATTAAAAACAATAACATTTAACTATGTAGCCTACCTACAAAGTGAAGCAATAATATCAAGGAAAAATAACAAAATACACAATCAACAACGTCGGGTAGGCAAGATGCTCTGAAAACGCTGTGCTTCATAAAGCAGCACCTGGTGGAATTTTGGCGGCAGAGTCTAGCAGCTCTTCAGCAGAATTCAAAACCCTACGGTTTATTTCGTAACTGCAGGGGAAGAGCTGTTGCTAACGTACCGGTGTGTCCGCTCAGGGCGTGAAGGCCCTGTCCTCTCTGACAGTCTGTTGTGTAGATGTTGCAGTCTCCGGCCCCGGCACTGATCAAGATGGATCCTCCACTCTCAGGGCCCTCCATGAAGGCCAGGTCCCTAATGGTACCATCATGCATGCTGAACTCCAGGTCTGGGCCTGAATCAGAAATGTACATTTTGGGTGGAAACACAGTTACATCAATATCAGGAGAATGGTGAATTGCCTTCTCTCAATTGTTCTTCTTTAAACTGTATGTGAAGGTGATCATTCAAACACAGGTCTATACTGTTCAAGGCAGGAAAGTGGCTCTGAAAATGGACATTACTTATCACGTACACACTAAAACACATAAAATAGTACCTGTAGCATTGCAGCTGTCAGCATTGAAAGGCAGGACTTTGACATATTTATCATTGGATCCAGTAGCCAACAGTTGTCCGCAGTGGCTCCATGCTACACAGTAGATTGAGCCCTTGTGGTGTTTGTTCCTCCTGAAACGTACCACCGGCTGCTTGACTGCACCAGAACTGCTGAATGGGCAAAGAAAATACCAGACAGACAGACAGAAATACGTAGGAAGTGAAATTTCAGTTTAATAATTGTGGGAAAAATTGCAACCTGTATTTAAATATTTTGACCATTGACTTTGAAAAATTGTTCATCCACCATTTTTGTTTTCTCACACACATTTTTGCTTCTTCTCACAAAATGCTGGTTCAGTCTTCATGAATTTAGTTTCCTTTTGCTTTCCTTGGTCAAAATTGCTCACGTCTCTAAAATCCCCTGAGTACTCGTGCGCACATTTACAATAATCCCCATACTGCCAGTGTAAGTGTTTCCTGTCTGTGTGTTCTATGAAGCCAACTTCTAGTGTTCCAGTACATAAACAAACTGTCATCTTGTAATAATGTCTCATTGTTTGGATTTGTTTCACAGGCAGTGAATGGTTCCTACCTGGTGTTGAGTGTTTCTGGGTAGGCACAGACTCTCAGCGTTTTTGAGTTGGAGCCGACGGCATAGAGAGCTCCAGAGGGATGGAAGGCCACCGCACGCACTGCCTGCGTGTCCTCGAGCTGGTTCACTTTGATAAACTGTGTTTTGGATTTCCCCGGCTGTTGAAGATCAGAAAAATAACAGCCTAGTTAAGGTTTTTTCACAACACAAATATCCTTAAGACAACCCTTTAGAAAACAAGAAAAACAAACAAATGTGTAGATATTTTATAGCATTTATTACAAAGACAAACAATGCAACTAATAGTTAAATGACTGAAAACACTCATAGCAAACAAAATAATACTTTAGCAGGTTGCTGTACCTCTTGAGAGTTTCGTGTCGCAGAGCCGCCAGAATCATCTTGGGCTGACCCTCTGATCTTCTCAGCACTGAAAATAACAGAGCTAGAAAGGTAAATACATTCTATAACAGTATTATTTATTTTGTATTATTTCCTAATTGGTAACTCCTTAAAAGGTCCAGTGTGTAGGATTTAGTGGCATCTAGCAGTGTAGTGGCAGATTACAACCCCCACTGCTCACTCTCTTATTTAAAGCCTGTAGAGAAACTCTGGTGGCTACAAAACTCACAAGATACACCCTCTTTATTGTTTGGGTTTGGTTTGTCTGTTTTCGGCTACTGTAGAAACATGGCGGTTAAACATGGCGGACTCTGTGGAAGAGGACCCGGCCCCCACTGTAGATAAGAACAGCTCATTCTAAGGTAATAACAACGATTCTTATTTTCAGGTGATTAAGAAAACATACCTACGACACTGGACCTTTAATATAGATATCCTATCCTATCCTATCAAAGCTAAAGCCAAATATAACACAGGCGGGTATTTACCTGTGACTGGCAGGAACCGGGGACTCGCTCAGGGAAGGCAAGCCATGGCTCCCAGTCATTAACGGGGTGCTGCTGACCCTCCCACCTGGCTTGTCCTTTGGTGGCCCGGTGTCAGGGGTGTGGCGGGTGTTTTTGGGACTGGAAGTGCTGGCGCTGTTCCACTGCTGGCCCAGATGCGTCATCACCTCATCTCCTCTGTGGTCGATGCCCACGTTCATCTCCTCCAACTTCTGAATTGATCTAGACAAAAACAAGATCTCTTTGTCAACAAGGCAGCACTATGGTCGTGTTTCATTCATTAAATCACACAATATGACTTCCATACCTGCTGAGGAAGGTCTCGGTGAGGTTGTTTTGGGCTCCGTCCTGCGGCTTCACTCCTCCCTCCAGCAGCATCTGCTGGTAAAGCTGTCGCTGTTGCTGCTTCTGCTCCAGATGCTGCTGGACACGGAGACGCTGCCGGTAATACTCCTGGACGTGCTCTGTGGAGTCAAGACGCTGGACAAACACACACGCACAAAGTGAGTCACCATGAAAAAATAAACTCACTGTAAAGCTTGTTTTTGCGGAAGATATAGAACACTCTGAAGCAGTATTTTGACAGTATTTGTTCTGCCTGAATAAGCCCTGTAACTTGAATGATATCTATTATTGCATTCCAGTATTCTCTGCTTCATCAATTGGCAGTGCTCATTGTGCCAGTACACAAACACACACACACACACACACACACACACACACACACACACACACACACACACACACACAATTATTATAATAGACAAACTCGCTCCAAAGAGCAACTACTGACAACTCTTCAACTCCCAAGGACTCGTCCTCCATCATCCAACCCATAAAAAGTTTTCAAGGACCTCATCATATCCAGCGGGTCTACGGTATATTCCCCTTCAACTCTCTCACACACACACACACACACACACACACACACACACACACACACACACACACACACACACACACACACACAACAATCCAATCTCAAGCTACTTTGCTCCTCTAGATGGGAGCTGGGATGCATAAAGATGAGCGATGATGGTAACCGTAGGCCATCTTGGGTGTGACCGCACATCAAACCACATTATCTTCCTCCAGTGTCCATGACCTCCACCCTTTTCACTGGGGCAGGGGAGCAGGAGGGCGCTGGTGCTTCTTGGACAGGTGTAGTAGAGAATTGGGGAAGGATTTATGAGGCAGTGGAGGTGTGGAGACGAGATGGCTCAAGGGTTCAGGGGGAATCTATTCCAAATCTCTTAAATCTGTAGTAATGAGTGCAGAGTGAAGACTGACTTTGACTTTGACTCAAGTGACCGGACAGACAACCATGGCTACTTCTTTTTATGAGTCATGAAACCAATTAAGCCTGAGCAACCAAAGGTGAGACACTGTACTCCTCCACATCTGGAATGTCTTCGTGCTTATCATTGATCTATGTAAGATCTATAATGTACCACACCACTCATACAAGAAGGCAGTGTTTATAGTCTGCAGCTCTTATTACCTCATTTGATTCTGTGCTGCAGGGTGGCCCACCATCTTTTCCAGGGGTCAGAGGTGTGCGTGTGGTGTTGGGTCCATCCAGTCCCTGTGGGTGCTTCCTATATGTCAGGAAAATATGCTTGTCAATTCACAACCAATTTTTTACATCTCAAATTGATGATTGAGGTGAAGTAAGAAGTAAATCAAACTGGCGACGCCATAGCATTCAATTAAACAAAAACATTTGTTTATATTTGTTTTAAATCAAAGATTAATTTGTTGTTTTGTCATTAGGGTTAATCGTGCATAACATTGCATACCATATAGTGCTGGGCGGTATGACCACAGTATTTCCACAAGATTCTGGCAGTTTCACTGTATATCTCCATATTTGTTTATTTTTGCAAGACGGAGCCTTTATATAGGTTTATAGTGGCTTATATTTACTGTCAGGAGCACAAACATAGAATATTTGATCTATATAGGGTTTTCATGCCCACATAATAATACAATATATGATGCAATTTTTATTGTGCAAACTGCAACATAACAGAACTGAAAAATAAAAAAAGATACGCCAATAGCTTTAACATTGCTTCCTTTTCAAAAGAAAATATTTTAAAATAATTGTATAAACAATATAAACTGACAGAAAATACTTAAAGTATTTAAGTATTCAAAAGGGATATTTCTCAAATGTTTTATTGCACAAGAAACAAATAATTTATAACAGTTGCTTCAGCTATGCAACAGTATGGCGCGATACGGAAAATTAATTTCATAGGGGAAATTAAAACTGGTATACCAGTTGATTCGGTATATCGCCCAGCACTAAGTAATACCATACCGCAAGACAAATTCCTGTAAAGGATGTCGAACTCTTGAATTTTATCCTTAGATAGTAGTTGGTGATGGTAGAGCTCACTTTGTACCAGCTGTGCACAACAGTTGCATCCAGCAGGTGGAGCCAGAGGAACCCAGGCAACATTCAGTCTGACAAACTGCTTATTTTACAGCACAGCGTTTCATTTGATACCTCAGAACCCTGTCTGCATGTATTACTTAGTGGTTTAACATTTTATTTGAGGGTAACCTTGTAAAACACACCTGTCAGCTCACCTCTAATGATTTAATGGACACATCCTTTCCTACTTCCCAAGTGTTTTAACCACATGATTGTCTTTTACTGTAGCTGGTGATGCCCTGACTATGCACATGTGCACCTAAGTATTTTTAGGTTATTTGATGCAGCTCTAAGGGCCAAATTTTGTGGGGGTTGGGGTATTTTTTGCTGGCAATTTCTGCTGTCTGAGGCCACTCCGCAGCAGAGAAACTGACTAGGGCAAAATCGCAATATGGCCTAGTGCAATATCCAAATTGCAGAAGCTGCAATTTTTTTGATAAAGGAAAATATGTGACAAACAGCATTATAATAAAAATATCGTAATTCTGAAGAGATGCCCTGACTTTGTTCACCAGATTTAATAAAACTTTGATTATTCCCACTAATGACAAATCATACTGCAATCGCAATATCTGTCAAAATTATAATTTCACCATATTGTGCAGCCCTAAAACTAACTGATAACGAAGGGATTTATGACATGAACCCAGGGAGGAGGCCACAGTAATGACCAAATGAGACATGGAGACCCTAGTAACATGGCATTTAAGCAGTAAAAAGCTGCACTTCAGTCCCCTTCAGTCTAAAATACTATTCGGAAAAGTAACTTGAATTTTCAGCCTTAGTTTAGTATAAAGCTCATTTCAATGATGAGTCATTAGGTGAAAGCTTTAGATTATATTGCATCCATCAACACTCAACTGCAATTTAAAATGCTTTGAGCAGCCCTGTAGGAGATGACAGATGAGGCAGGATGTCTCTTTTAAAGCAGGGCTAATGGGATTAATGGAGCTCCAGATTGTGTCATACAACAAGATCAACCACTGGGTTTAATACCTCAGGTTGCACGTGTTAATGGGGTAAGCTTGTTGACAAAGCTCCGGGAAAGACTGAAAAAACACAAACACACCCACTTTACATTGAGGGGATTTCAATAGAATAGTCAGGATTTAGGATATTGTTTTCTTGTTAATACTGGTGATTGCTACATATAACTTATCATATCACACATTTTTACATATAAACAATATTTTTATATTTGTAAATGCAGCTATTATCTGACAATAAGTATAGCTTAATTTATGTATCAGGATCTCTTTTGAATTGATTAAAGCATGCTACATATGTATATTATATAACAAACTGAGGCTTGAAAATGTATTTAAAACAGAAGTAAAAACTGCTAAACTGCAATAAATTTATCAATTTTATTATGTGCTTTAAGACTGAGGTTTATGAAAGATAAATGAAAGCATACCATACATTTGCTTTACAATACTATTATGCGTATGTATCACTGCAAAACAAATCTTCCTCTGTAGCATGAAGAACACTAAAAACCATTTGTCCCAGGTGTGCTAAAGCTTTGACACTTACCTCTCAGGTGAATCGTCCTGCTGATGCACATTATTCTCCACCAGGCTCCGACTGAGGGCTGACTTCATGTTCGCCTCCATGCCTCTCTTGTCTTGGGCTGCGAGACCATGGGACAGGCCGTCCAAAGCTGGGTTGAGGGATCTGGACATGTAGGTGTCCGCTGAATGAGGCCTCTGATGGAAGGGTGAGGTAGGGCAGGGGGACAGGCGGTTGATTAACGGAGTGAGGAGGTCGGCGTGGCCGGCCTTGCTGGGCTTCACCAGACGGTCCACGTGGATATTGAGGGTCTTCTGCTGGAAGGCGCAGGAGAAGGCACCCGGAGAGAGGTTCTGCAGCCAGGAGAGCAGCGACAAGTCCAGTTCATCACAGCCATTCCCGCAAAGCAAGTCCACGCCGAGCAACACCTCGCCCTCTGTGATCTCCTCGCCAGTTGCTTTACTCTAGAAAACAGACACAGTGGAGTTGTGACCATCAACCTCGACTCAAATTGTTGAATCTTTATGATTTTGAAATCAGACATACCAAATTGTAAAACTTAATTTTAAGGGGAATCCTATTACCTGACAGAACTCGACGCAGCACTCATAAAGGATCCCTTTGATGAGCAGCTGGAAGAGGCGGTTCCCGCTCGCTCTGAAGCCCGCCTCGCTCAACTTCCTGTCAGCAGGGATGAATTCAGCCACCATGGCACAGGCTTCCTCGAAGCAGTGGACACGTGCCGTGCTTGGGTTCCAGTCTTTGAACTCTGCGTGGTGGGTGAGGCGCGGCAGAGTGAGGAGGAGACATAGCTTGCTGTAGTCCTCCTTGGTCGGGCAGTACTCCTCCAGACTGTGGAGGCACTTGACTGCCTCCTGCATGGTGAGCTCCAGCTGTAGTTGACAAAAAAGTTCAAAGAGTACAAATATAGTTCTTGAGATGTTTTTTGCAGAACCCCACTGGTATGTGTGTGATAATGAAGGAGGATTAGCTGTTCAATAAGAATGTAGCATATCAGACAATATTTAAAAGGCCTTAAGGATAGCAGCCAGTAAAACCTGCAGGCTGCTGTATCTTTGTTCATCTTATTTAAGTCAGACTATTTTTTAAATTGCCAACGCTAGCTTCCTGATTACATATTTACGTACATTGTGAGGGTCTTCGGCAGCGGACATGGCGTTATTTACACACAGAGCTTCCAGAAACTTCTGCTTCAGAACGATGTAGCGGAACCTGGAGACACAAACCTCAGAATTAAGAAATATATTTTATAGGATATGAATTGATTAACCATCATGTGACCTGGGGGGTTGAATTATTTTGATAACCTTGATATTTAATTAGATAGGACAACTGAGTTTAAAAATTAATTGCGTGAGTGCTTAGTGGCTGGTAAGAAACAGAGGATGTCAGTCACATGACATGATCGCGCCACAGTACTGGGATCTGACCTGATTCAGCCCCTAAAGCTACCAGTTTCCTGCTTTTCCAACTCAGTCCAACTCAGTCACCAGTGAGGGAAAAACATCATAAATACTGTACTTAATAATATACTGAAAATATAGACAAATGATCAAAGCCACTCTGGTTATCCCTCTAAAACCCACTCCTTAAATAGGTCTTACAGATGACAGCTATGGGCAGTTAAAGGGTTGCTGTAAAGTAAAAACTGTCAGATTAGAATAACCCCCACATCATTCCTCTCACCTTTTCTTGTCAAACTTCTCCATTCCTTCTAGAGGTTGAATGAACTGCATCACCTCCTCCCACTGACCGTCCAGAATGAGTTGCCTGTTGAAAGCAGCAAATGAACACTTTAACAGGCCTCTGAAAAGCTAACTAAATCTAATCTAAAATAAGATAACTGAGATCAGGCCTGTCAAAAGTAATGAAATACAATAGAAGGAAACATGCACCTGTGGAGACTGACACATGTACAAACCCAGGTCCTAACAAACACATACGCCTGAAAGTCTAATCTCCCCTTTCAGGATTTTATTCTCTCCTATTTGCCAACACGAGTCTGCTGTACAGCCATACCTGAGGAAGAGCATGTCATCAGAGTAGAGTCCATTAATGACACCGCTCTCCTTCTCTAAGGCCAGCATGCTGATGTGCAGCTTCCTGGAGTTCAGAAAGTCCAGCATCACCTTGATCACCTCTGCCTCCTTGATGCTGATTGTCTCCTCTGCCGTCATGATTGCAAGTCTGTGGTGGCAGCTAACAGCTGGCTGCCGTGCAGATAGGAGGGAAGAAAAACGTATACTTACAAAGATTACTTTGATTGAACTGATTTGTTGAACCAACAAGGATTTTGTCAATTCCTAGTGTCTGTATAACTACCCCAGAAATCTCAGATCATTACCAACATAACAATATGTGTTGTTGCCTGCCCCAAACACTATCTTTTTAAGGTTTTTCAGATGTATCTGCTGCCAAATTTGGTAAAAAGGTAAAAACATGAGCTTCTTCTTAGATTGAAAAAACATTGCAGATAAGTTCTCTGTTGACCAATAGTTACTAAACAGCATTATCTGTCACTGTGTGCACTGAGATGTGTGTGAAACGAGCAGAGAGGGTGACACAGACAGCTTAAAAGATCAATGCTAATTATGTAAACACTGACAAATACACACACAGGCTTCTCTTCCACACTGGCACACACTGGTTTACACGCTGAGGACCAGTTACAGTGTATTGCTGCAAAACTCCTGCATGCATGCTTCTAGTGTGTTCAGCTGCCCAGTACAACACTGATCTGCTTTAAATGTTATTTTATTTTATACTTAAATGTGAATTCTGGTGTGCCTGTCCCTCTAAATAGTTAGTGAAAAGAGTGAGCTCTCTGGTAGGTTTTCAAATCTTTTGGCACAAACATATCCAAACTGGTGCTGTAGCATCCTTATCCTAACAATCACATGGGGGCTTGCAGTGTCTATTATACATTAAACATTTAAAAATGACCTTACTGCACAATAATATTCTTACACAGTGGATATTTTCCCATGATCCTCGTAATAATTATCTTGCAGATCATTTCGGTCTGGCTGTAAATGGTTAACCACAGCGACATCACATAGGGAGCTACACAAGACACAAAGGTGTCTTTCATTTTGTGTGATGGGGGGGGAAGCTGTGATGCCTCGGGGTGTGTGTACTGGAGGCAGAGCAGTCGGTGACACCGCCCTGTCTGTCTCCCCCCCCGGATGGTCCTGGATGTGACAGCAGCGGGTCTGCGGCCCAAAGCTGACAGCCTCAGTACTTTTATCCGCGCTCAGACAGACACACCTTATTTACTGGAGCATGACAGCACAGCACATAGGCTACAGCGCTCACACACACACACACACACAGACGTTCAGTGGAGCAGCATGCAGATATTTCCCCCCTTTTATAATGTGCAGGATATCGTGCAGGACTAACACACCGGTGGAACAGGCTAACACACCACCGTGAATCCGTGCCAACTCCTCACCTGTCAGTTTGCGCCAACGAAACGCCGCATTAAAAACCCCGCTCCGACGCGTCTGCAGTCTCCAAATGTAACGGTGTGCGCGAAGAGGGAGGACGGGGACGGTTGTTTTGGGGGTTGAAATCCCGGCCAGCGTTTCCAGAAAGGTCACTTCTGCCTTCTTTTTTGTACACAGCTCGCGGTTGCCATGCGGACGCAGCCGCAAACCACCAATCATCAACCGTAGCGATGACGCGCGCTGGTCACACCTACGACGCAGCCGTACACAACTTTCAACTGATGTGGAGGGACATTAAAACCTGTGAGGAAAAAAATATCAACACAATCATCATTGAAAATAAACTGATAACGATTCTGTTTTCCCCCTCGGGAATTTAAGTATATCAGTTGATGGATCTTGGTAAATGCCGTTAAGCTATATGCTAATATATATATATATATATATATATATATATATATATATATATATATAGTATATAGATGTTTTTGCCTGAGTGTTTTAGCATCTAGACTCTTGCTGAATGGTTGGAGTTAAAACTGAATTCTCTGCAGTCAAAATCATGCACACACACCCCAAGAATGTCTGGATTCATAGCTACAAATGCCATATAAAGCACCCAAATGCAGTGGAGGAAAGTAACTAAGTATATTTACTCAAGTACTGTACTTTCCTACTTTTTATGCGAATAAACTATGAAGAGCTTAGGATGTTTTGTTATTAAACTACTATTGGTTGGACAAAACAAGCATTGCAAAGGTGTCACTTTGCACTCTTACTGTTTTCAGAATTTTGACAAACCAAACAATCAACAGACCTTTTTCACAGCAGCTATTCTGACATAAAATAGTGGGGTAATCACCTGTGAATCGGGGTTCTGTACCTTTCAGGTAAAAACATAGTCAAGGTGCTGCTATTCTGCATGTTGGCTCACTGGAAAGGCTCTGCTACAATGAATGGAAGGAACCTTAACAAGTCTGCTTTTACAGGCAGGATTTCATTATCCTTAATGCGTTTCAGTGGATTGACACTTCACTATTCATCACAGTCCACAATAATTTGATAATAGAAAGTGATAATCATTGTGAGGCTTTTGTAAGAAGTTTATCATTTAATCCAACTGCAGCACCATGGTCAATGCAGATCCCAACTGAACATAATAAGAACTACTGGAATAGCTGGCTTGACCATTAACGGGTTTAAAATGTATCTTTTAGCTTCATCTCCTGCTCTACCAAACACAGCTAAGGCTAAGGCTAAAGCTTTTTCTTGGGATGTAGATTTTGTCAATTTGTTGGTGGATAATACACAATTAGGCACTGTAAGCTTGTAAACAACAGTGACAATAGTAACCTGGTTACTCTTACAGATTGCTTTGCTAAAATTGGCATTTGGATGTCTCACATTTTTGCGAGCAGAAGGCTGAGGTTACACAACTGAATGCAGCACTATCCTTCCTCCTTTAAAATAGACATTTAGTTTTAAAATGAACGCCAAATAAATGCTGAGGCCATGCTTAGTTTTATTAAATGCAAAAAAACAAAACAAAAAAAAAATTAAAATACATGTTCAGCAAAATGTTGACAGCACAGCGTCTGACAAAAAAAAAAAAAAGTTATAATGAATAGGTATGAGCTCACATGAACACACTGTACAATATCATTACAGTTTAAAGAATCATTTCACCTTTTCCTTAAGCAGCCAAAAGCAGGTGGACAGAGCTTCCGTGGACAAATCCTTCCAATAAACAAGAGAGAAACACTTCTTTACTCTGTCACACTATATTACATTTTCAAAGACATGTACATGCTCTCTTTTGGTCATAAATACCCCCCAGTTGAAAACAAAGCACCATGTGAGCAGATGTTGTAAATCGTTCCTGCAACATGGTGTTGATTTGACATTTGGTGGCAAAAGGAACATGATACTGACACCAATGAAACTCTGTGGCGAGTCTCTACCCGTATGCAGCAACAAGGATCCACCCTATTCTGCCTTGCATTATTTTGTGATATTCATTCTCCTAATAATAGAAAAAGAAAAAATGTCTGGCCTTTTTATGACTCTGTCGCATCTATAGGCAACAGATAATAAATATGCTGCTAATACACACTCTTCACATAATGCTTAGTTTGGGTCAACATACATTTGTGTTACGTAAGAGCAACAGACACAACCATAGTAACAGTGTGGCCATTTTAATGAATCAGGCAATACTTGCTGTGATGAATGATTGGCTTTTTAAATAGCAGATTCTTAACTAATCAGCAGTCTAAACTTGGTATATGCACAACTACATTTGGTGTTTGGTGGATGCTTTCACCAAAAGTGCCTTAAAGTATAATAAGTGCAGACTTTGTTAGGATGAGTAACCCTGGTGTGAATAAGAAGAATTTAACACTGCCAAGTAAGTACTAGTACAATTTAACTAGTACATTTAATTTTAAATCCAGTTACTGATGAGGAAATACTTCTTAGGTGTCATTATGTCTTGGGATTCAGTCATATTCCTGATACCAGTTGGTGCTAGTGTGTGAGTGTACATTATATTAATACTGTAAAGACCCTAAATTATGCAGTACGCAGCATTTCTAAATAACAAGAAAATAATACTCAGCTGTTTTATTTGTTCACAAATTTACTGTGAACCAGCAGCAAAGTGATCTACAACACCGGTTCTCAACCTTTGTGGCTGAAGCCATACCATACTTGTAAACAAACTTAACTTTGACCCCCCCCCCCAAGGGATGATTTATATTTTCACTGTCTGACTATTTTACTTAATTATTAGAATACATCTCGAGGTTGCAACTAGTTCAGCATATTACAAGACAAAGGAGTTTGACAAAACAATTACAAACATGACAGCATATTTGTATATTAGAAAAAAAAAAAATTCTACACGTCATACATTACAGCTCAAATCACCTGGAGGTGTCCTGACCCACAGGTTGAGAACCAGTGATCTAGAGTAACGTCCTGCATTCTTTAAAATCACTTCCTCAAAAAAGGGTTCTGAAAAAGCTGAAACCGCTTGGCTTTGTTGAGCTGAACACACGTGTACTGTGTGGCTAACGCTAGCTGTATGCAATTAGTTTTTTGGCCCTTTGTAGTTTCACGTACCTCAATATACAAACTGTTTTACCCACAGAGATGAAGAAAAAGTGTTCTTCCAAATACAAAAACCCCCCATCTGTACGTTGTTTTACAATCACCTCATTCCACTCACACGCTAAAACAAAACGCGCATAAGGCCACACATCAACAGGATTATGCAAACATAAATCGATCTGTACATGAATTAAAAACATTCAGTGCTTCAGAGTACCCAATAAAATGTCCTAGCATTCATACTGTCTCTTTTTTTGACATTTGGCACGTAGGAAACAAAAAACAACACTCACACATGCCTTCGTAAACTGACTCAAACATGACAATCTTTAAAAACACGGAAGTGATAAGCATTTACATCATTCTTTAACAGTGTCATACATTCCAGTTGTTCATAATCTTTGAGTCCTATTTATGTCCAGTCCAGAGTAAGTAGGAAAAACAAGGACAGGAATGCGATGAGAGGAAAAACAAACAAACGACAAATATGCATTCAACCTAACTGGCATTGCAGGTGCTTGAATCTTCATGGATATGTACAGTGAAGTGCAAATTGAAATGGGTATGTTTCATTTGAGGGGGAAATGGTGATGTCTAGGGTATCAAGTTCCATTAGGACTGGGCAGGCACTACTTTTTTAGGGGTGGCTGGCTTCTTGGTTTGCCAGAGATGGTTGTGGATCGTCACCGCGTCCACGCTGGCCGACATGGTCTTGGCTGGTATCTGACTGAACTGCTTCTTGTCCGAGTTGTACTTGTAGAGGCCGTCGATCATCTTGCGCGTGATGCTCTTGGGGCCGAAGCCGGCCAACTTGTTGATCTCCTCAGTTTCGGGGCAGTAAGTGTAGAGAGAGCGGAACTGGCAGCCGGCATCTCTGAACAAAACCAAGAAGTTGTTTGCCTCTGATTTCTCCATTTCCTATTAAAGTCAGGGAAGAAAAGCTCATTAGATACAGCATGAAGGTCACATATGCTAAAGAAAGGCCTAGGTTTGGTGATATTTGACTCACAAGCTTAAGTATTTAAAAGTGTGTCTGCCCTGAGACTGTGATACTTTTTCTGCCCTTACGCTTTGTAGTTAAAATACTTGCCACTGCCATACTTGTGACTAGGCAAACCTTTATTTATACATATAAGTCCTTTAGTTAAACATTACTTCAGAATTTATGGATGTGATGGAAGGATTTTGAAATAAACCAACAAACTGTAAATTCACAAATAGTTTACCTTATTTACCTCAATGACAGAGAACCAGGCCTTTATTTTGAAATTCTCCTGTTCCGTGGTTAATAGTAATTGTTTTAATTCACCAATTAACTCCAGTGGCTCTACTTTACTATTTTTCCCATTCAATGTTATTTGGTAAATTACATATCCTGCAGAATTTTTACATTAAATGTCTTGCAGCATTCACTTCATTAGGTGGACTTTTATTGTGAAACAACTCCACCATTACTTGACTATCTGCTATTATGTATACCTTTGTGGGATGTATGTGCCTTAACAGTAAACACAGACTTTAAAAGAGGAAGAGGTACCATGTCAGATTTTAATCCACAGTGTTGAAGGTATGTGGCGTGCACCATCAATTGATCCAACAAGGCACCCCTGCAAGTGTATAAAATAAAATCTTAAAAGCTCCATGCTCTTACCTCCAGGATCTTGTTCTTTTGTCCCTCATTAACCTTGCCGGCGAGGCAGCAGTGGGCCAGAGCGTTCTGGATGATGTGCTTGTTAGATTTGGCACTGGGCTCCTTGTATAGTTTTGGTCCTGAATGAGAACAGAGGAGAGAAGATTAGGATGAGACTGTTGTCATAGCAACTCCTCCAGTTATGTGAAAGAAAAGACTTCCCTCCCTATTTTTATTTTTTCTTTAGATAAATCATGTATGAGCATTTCTACTGCTAGCATATCCATGTGTTTGTGGGTAGACTGACAAAGGCTATGCATTTATATTACACACAAAAAAACAAATTCCCACAGCTGATATATTGGATTTACATTTTACATCAGGTGGGAAACCCTACCAAGAAGGCAATGAGACAAGAGGATGACTTTGTTTGGACCAAAACTATCCTTCACTATTAGAATATTCACTGCACTGGATATAAGAATTAACCTAAAATTAAACAGGAATTAAACCTAGGCTCATCATGTAATTCCAACATTAGCTCATATTATCATTTATCTTTATGTTGTTAATATCGTCTTATAAACTTAATATCAGTTTGAACATTTGCATTTAAAAAACGATGCTACAGAAGATTGTTGTCTTACCGGTGTACTCTGTGTTGGATGTAACAGAAGAGGTTGTGGATCCATTCTCCCAGTCCTTTTCCCCATTCCGGCTGCAGGAGCGGCTCGGGGACAGGAAGCCATCTGCAGAATCTGGCCTAGAACACACACGCGCACACACACATATACATGCAGAGAGTTAGATCCCCTTCCTGCATTGGTGCTGCTCCTGAACACTCAGGAAAGTATAGTATAGGCAGGGCAGGAAACTACTGTACTATTTATACAAGATATTTTGAAATAAATGCCATCTACAAAAATTAATCCTTCCAGCCATTACAGAACAGCAGTATTAGGCTAGTGGCTGTTGTCATTTTCCCACCCTGTCTACATCATGTTCTTATAGATTTACCCTTTACTGTGGAGGAAACGGTACTATTTCAGCAAACAGTTTGAGGTTTGGGTGTCCATAGTACATCCTTACAGCGAATAGTGAGGTAGCAAAGCTTGCAAGCACAGGCAGTGAGTGCAGTGATGTGAAGCAGTCTGGTGCATTTAAGGTCAATAAAAGAGGTCAATCAATTATAGTGCAGCACTTCGCATTTACTTGCTCTTTTTCTGGGCTGTAACTGTATTATATGTCCCCTTTATACACTGGCATTTTCTTAAACAAGTGATTTCCATATACACTGGGATGTTCCACTGGGATTATTATGCATTTATAAAATACACTATTCTGCCTCTGTAATTATGTGAAAATCGATGGGCACTGTAAATGTAGAGTGAAAGCAACTAAAGCCAAACTTGCTTGCAGTGCTTTTTTGTGAATGTAAACCGCCCATGTTAACAAGTCATTTTAGCAATAGAATATTAAAAAGGGTCATTTGGATTAAATTAACATGGATCTTCGCATGTTTCAAGAACAACTGGTATTAAATGACGTGAGATGGATCTTTAATACCCTACTGGCAGGGTTTCAATAGACAATATGGGGTTAAATGACTTGAAAAGATGGATGTTTTATGCAGGGTGTGTTCTAGAGGATTGGTCTGTGATGTAGCGACTCTGAACAAAACTAAAAATGTACTTTGATGTTTTATCAGGCGTGAAAAGCCAGAGCAGGAGTGTAAATTGGTGAGGAAGGCGCAGCAGAGAGGTAAGTGGGAAAGGAGAAATGACTGTTTTGTGGAAGAGATGCTGCTAAAAGCATAGCATTATTCAGGTGCTTTGAAGTTAATCATAAGGAAATATGTTGCTTTTCCTATAAGTGGTGGATCAATCCCAATCCAATAAAACCCAGTGTGGGGACAGGGTTTCAGCACAGGATTGGGCTCAGGACAGCGTGAAGTGCCTTAGAATTTAACTGCCAAGCAGAAACTAACCTTCTCCTTCTCAGTTTAGGAGATCTCAGAAAGTAGAAGAGACTGCCAGAGGCTAAACTAGCACTTCTGACATATGTGAAACCGAAAGTATTAAAAGAAGGAAGATAGAAGAATACAGGAGAAATGTTAGACTTGAGAACCGGAGATTGTCCGGAAAGCTTGGCTTTAAAAAAAACAAAGAAAGGTCAAAACATATCATCTTTAGTGTACATGAAGAACAGTTAAAGACTCATGTTAGAAATTCACTCCAGTCCAAGTCAAAGTTTGTCAGATATATTTTAGGTTCACATGAACCTTTGGCATTGTTATAACACATGTCCAATTAAATTCATGTCTAGCAACACCCTGTTTTTTAACAGCTGTTAAGGCAAAACACCAGCTGTTACATCTCTGTATTCTGTCTTTCTTGAGAATTCCATCCAAGGACTAATTTTCTGCCTGTGTCATTCAGTGTGCATTTACTCTATACATTATACATGGATTTAATAGTCATAAATGTTGGCTTAGTAACTGTAATTCTTAGAGCAGGTGAACCAGGTCAAAATTATAAATTATTCCCAACATTTGCATGGTGCCAAGTCTATTTTTCATTTTGTTTTAGTGCTTCAAGATTTTTCTTCTAACTCTTATCTTTTCCATAAAACTGGCATATATGCAGAGGTCTTCACACTGACCATGTTTTACTAAACATATCCCAGTACTATATTCCTGAATATAGTATGAAATCTTCCCCTGGTCAACACCAAACTTTAATTTAAAATTAAATGGCTACACTAAATATCATTTTACAGCATTTTACACGTTACACAAACAGTTATAGACTTTTAAAAACCTCTCACCTTGGCGATCTCTTCTCAGAGTGAACACTGTCGCTGTCTCCCAGGTTGAGGGAAGCAAGGGACAAGCTGGAGACTGAAAAGACACGTTGCCGTGAACCTAGATGTGAGACGAGATGTGGCACAGCACGACACAGTTACACTGACACCATGAATAACAACAACACCAGGCTGTCCCACTGTGTTTTGTGCCAGCACTGTCACAGAGCAATGCAGCCTCAGTCTTATGACTAAAATGAACTCTCGCATCCAGAAATACACACAGAATTATTATGAACACAGCCTATAATACATGCAAAAATATGTATTAATACACATTATATAATTCTTATTGGATTGACATATAAAACACATACAAACACACAATAGTATTGCATTGCTTCTTCTGTATATCATGTTAAATATTATGTTCCGTATTATTTTGGGCTTGTAAGACATTAGATAAACTTATAGACTTAAGGTAATATCAAAGCCAATATTAATACAAATAACTGACCAGATTATATCAATATCTTTTCTAGATTAATAATTTATGTAATAGGACATTCTCAAGTGGCACAAAGCAAAGTGGCAGCAGGACACAGATTGGACAGATGGGATGACCTTGACCTCTCTGAGTGTGGGTCGTCTCTACGGTTACCTGTGGCAGCTCTGACAGGGGTTTTCGGGGAATCCATGCTGTCGCGGTGGATGGACTTGGGACGGCCCCGTCTCTGCTTGGCCCCACCGGCTGGTCGAGGTTTAATGACGGTGTCCATGTCCTCCATCAGTTTCAGCTGCTTCCTCCTGAGATATTCCTGCTTGATGAACTCCCTCCTGGCTTTGTCTTCCTCCTTCCTGATGCGCTCTTCCTCTGCTTTCAGCCTGAATAAAGGGAGTCAGTGCAGAGAAATACTGTGAGGTTTTTTGTGATTTACAAGATCTATATCTCATTTTGGTTTATTGACAGGACAGTAGAGAGAGACAGGAGAGACAGGAGAGACAGGGGAGAGAGAGGGCATGACATGCAGCAAAGGGCCTCGGGCTGGTGGCCAGTGTGGTAAGGACTCAGCCTTGACACATGATACGCTTTCAGTGAGCTACTGAGGAGCCCAAAATACTTTTTATATATACAGAGTTTTCTGTTCAATATATGTAGATATATACTGCAAACAACGTTTTTTGTACATAGTACATGAAAATATATGGCAATGTGGTCACATTTTCTTTATTTTCTGGTGTGAGTTGACTTGCTACCACAAAATATAAAGTCATCATATCAAGAAAAGACTGCCAGACTAAAGAAAAGAGCACACAACACTGTGTTCCTACACCTGTGTGTTCTGAAAATGTGTATGGACTTATTTTCAAGATGCGTCAACATACCGAGCTTCCTCCTTCTTCTGCTCCAACTCAGCCTCCAGCTGCATCTTCTTCTGCTGGCTCTCCTTCTCCCTCCTCATCCTTTTCTCCAACAGTGCAGCCCTCTTCTGAGCCATGTTCTCCTCAGCTTTTCCATCCGCCTGAGTCACAAAGGAAACAGAGTCACGTCACACGGTTTGCAGTGTTCAAAGTAGAATGAAAATCCAGTAACATTTAGTGAATTTTATTAATAACTGTTGTTATTATGTCTTTATCCATATTCTTTGTATCACAGGACAACAAGAAACTTTAAAAAAATAATTATTTCCATTATTTCATGGACAATTGCCCACATCTCACTGTAGTTAAGATAGTTTGCATGAAACCCTGACAATAGCAAGAGAACAAGAGACTATTGAAAACATGCTTTGTCAACTGTCTGTGTCCTTACACACACTCCAAATATACTGTAAATTCACATATCGTGCTTTTACACAAACACTACAATAACAAATTCAATGTGAATTCAACATAGGCACAGCCGGCTGCTGATTTCAGTACAAATTGGTTTTGATTTACAGTTTTATTTCATGTGAACATCCTTTGCTTATCCCTCAGCATCCATCCTGACAATCTATTCAACCCTTCTCCAACCCCACTTTTCCACAGCTGTGCCTGAATTATTCACAACAGCCCCAGTTTTATGACCTACATCGAAGCTGAGACTGCAGCAAGCAAGCTATCTCACAACCCATAAATGAGAAGATGATGCTGTTCTCAGCCAGCATGTTTCCAGAATCATTCATCATTTTATGTCTGGAACAAACATGGCTGCCCCAGGTTCAAATGTAATTGCCTTTTTCCCCAGAAATGTGCCACTACATTTTACGGCCTTCAGTGCTGCGACATGGTTGCAACCTGGACTCTGCATGCTATGATTTTAATTATTTATGCAGCTGGTTCTTTGTTCTCATTTTTTTTTATGATTTATGGTCTTATTGGCTGTGTTGCTACTCTGTGCTGCTTGTTGAATCCTTCAGTTCCAGTGTGAGTGTCCTCAAATTGCCTGTATATTTGGGCTTTGTGCAGATCCACGTATTATTTATTAACAGAAAGTGCAACAAAATATAGACAATGGTCATATTAATGAAAGTGAAAATTAATTGAGTTTGAGTTATTCTTTTTGCAGTACGGTGACAGTTGTTTGAATTAACAGCCTACCTTGAAGAAGAAACCACGACACATCTTCTGATCGTAATCTAAGCCTTCCACGTTATCCTGCTGCATCTCCAAACTATCATCAAGTGTCAGATCCTCCAGTGGCTTCACGACTGACAGGGGAACCTCAATCAAGCTGCTCTTGACTTGGCCCGAGGCTTCTGGCTGTGGAGGGATTTCTGTAGGTGACACCGTGAAGGTCTCTACCACAGGGTGGGCCAGAACCTCAGGAAATGATGACTCTATGGTAGGTTTGAGATCTGCAACTGACTTCTGAACTTTCTGGTCATCTGCTTCCATCTCAATGATTTTCGATTGGCTGTGAACCTCACTTTCCTGGGTTTGGCATTCAAACTTTTGTTCTCTTTTGTTCTGGAGGTTAGGGGAGGTGGGGGGTGAGTTGGCTACACATATACTGGCATGCTCCCTCTCGGGGGAAAGGAGTGACTCCATGTCCTTGTTTTTATCTCCATCTGAGGCTACTGTCGCTGGATTGGAGGTTGCTGGTTTCTCACCCATGTAAACAAAGGAACTTGCCAAGGGCTGGCAGGGAGAAAATCGCCGTAGCCTGGGAATGCTATCGACAGATTGCGGTGCGGTTAGGACTCGATTGTAAGGGGCCAGCTTTAGCTCGCTGGGACGAGGGGTGCGAGGATTACGCGAGTGGAAGGAGGCAGATTTGCGTTTGATGCTGGTTGGAGAACGGTGGGTGGTACGAGGGGAGTCGGCAGGAGAGGAGGGTCCTGAGGATCGAGCGACAGCTCCGGCTCGATTTTGTTTTTGTGGTGATGGGTTTGTATGAGGAGGAGGGATGACCCACGCCTGCTGATGTTGTTGCTCCCTCATGGCCATGATCACTTCCTGCTGCTGAGCCAGCCGCTGCATCTCAGTCTGAAGGAAGGCTAACGAATGGTTGAGTTTCTCAATAGAGCGCGTATACTCAGTGAGATCTACCTCAGTTAGCTGAGCATGACTTTGCCCACCTTCCTCTCCTGCACCAGGTGACTTTGTCCAACAGGAACCTGTGCTGCTTTGCTCTGCCCCATCAGGTGTGTCTGCCTTGCTTCTCCCGAATATGAAGGGGGGAATTGTGCTTGCTGCCTTGCCTTCTGCCTCAGTTTTTCCTCCTTCCTCTCCACTGGCAGCCCCATCTCCTTTTCTCTTCACCACATTGAGAAACGCTGAGTGACCCATCTTTTGCCGGTGCCTTGTAAAAGCAGCTTCCACTTTCTTCTTCTGTGCTTCAATGGCTTTACGTTTCTCCTCCAGCCTCATCCGCAGCTGTACCATCTCCGTAGCCATGACCTGAGCAGGGTCATTGGGTGGAAGTTGTACAGGTGTGGGCGATGCTTTGGTAGCAAGGGGTGGGGTGGTTTGTTGATGGACGGGGCTGTGCTCAGGGGTCGGGGCCCAGGAGACAGATAATGGGTGGCCAAACTCAGAGCCCTCAGGAGTGGTCTTGAGGGAGCTGCTGCTGCACCTTCCGGAGTCTGGCGCTGACGGACTGTGCTTCCTCATCTTCTGTTCTGCAAAGCTGGTCATCTTCACTCCTGAGGGGGATTTGCTCTGACTGCTCGGGCAGGGGCTTGGCGTGTCCATATCCAGGTCCATGTTCACAGAGCAGTCTTTCAGAGAGGAATCCTCATCCAGCATGTCTTCTGTTCGGATATGGATGCCAGTGTCCACCTCGGTGGTGTCTGTGGTGCTCGGAGGCCCTTTGGAGTCTAATTCTGATACTGGTTCCAAGCTACCAACACCAGGCCTGTGCAGAAAGAAGCCACTGTTGATCCCCTCAGCTGGGGGCCTACTTGGGCTGTGGATAATCTGGAGGGCTTCCTCAATGGAGGGAGTTGTTGCCATGACACTTCCATGTCCGTTGGGGTACGTTGGCCTGTCGGGCTCCACACCAGCCAGGCTGTCTGGGCAGCCCTCCTCCTCAATGCCGACACTCTGACCATTCACTGGCTGGAAGGACAGGTTACGCTTCATTCCACGAGGCAGGTGTTGAACCTTAAAGCCAGAACCATCATCAGTGCTGACAGACCTGACCATGCCACGTGTGGAGGGAAGAGGGCCAGGAGAAGGGTCCTCTTTGTCAAAGGGGATATCAAAAGATACTCCATAAGGCCCAGACCTGAACAGAAAAACAAAAAAAGAATCCTCAGATTTTATATTACTAACAAATTTAGAGGGTTATTTAAGGAGAGAGCGTGATTTGGCAACATCACAATGCGCTTTTCTTAATCCCCATGGGATAATTAATTATCTTGGGGATTGGATTTGAAATGAGCAGCACACGAACAGAACAGCAATATTACTAACCTTTTTTCTTTGGGCCAAGTGCCAAGGTTGCCATCGACAAAGGACATTGAGGTTGACCTCTTCATCTCTCCTGGATGACACAAGTAAGCAAAGTAAGAAAAACAGAAGGTGTTGTACCTATAAGTAATCATATTTTTATATCATACATAACACTACAATATTGGTAAAATAAAAAAACAACAACCCAAAAGTAAATAAACAAAAGTCACCTGAGTTTCGAGGCTGGGGTCGGAGGGGCAAACTATAGAATCAGGGAGAGAAAATTACATGTTAAAGATTGTAATATGTATTTTCATTGTACTTTCTAGCGTTAATTTGTCCATAAAAGGATTTTGCTGTGCAAGGTGACCTTATCTGGCTTAATCAGTCTCATATATTCACACCTGTGAACTGCCCACCAACCAGTGTAAACTACTAGCCAATGAGCTACTTGACTGGAAGTGCCTTGCTTTTACACCATAATTTGGACTAGCATACCTGGGTCTTTCCGGACTTGGGGGTCTTTCCATGAAGCTCCTCTTGGTTGCCTTGGAGATGGGGATGGCTGGCATATTCTTCAACAAGGACGAGGGCTCTGAGTTGACAATGGCGACAAATGATCACATTGTGCTTCCACAGTGGACAGCAACATAATAAACAAAATATATTTCCCCATAATTACTATGGTTTGTTTAGGTTTAAGATAAAATACACCTACAGGTACACCTCTACAACTACCGTGACATCTAGCACTTACTACCACCACATGACACTACAGTTGGTATTGCTACTATGAATATTATTCTAAGGTCAGAATAAGACTTGCCTGTGCATTCGTTGTCCAGCATTCTTGGTTTCACAAAAGACGGCTTGACCACCTCAAACCACCAGAACAGCTCTGCCATGAACACCAGGTAGTTATTCTGTGGAAATATTCAAACAACATTTAATTACTCAGCAAATTCTGTATGTGTCTTGTTATTATTTTATTCCATACCATTTGCCATACAACTGCATTTTACCTATTTCTCCAGCAGGTGTCTCTGTTAACCCTTACAGAGAACCTGAAGTGATGAGCATTTGTATCTCCCAGCAGCCTGCATATAAATAATTCACCAATCTTGCTCCATTTCACAGAGTATCCTCTTAAGAGAAAGACGCTACATAGTTCAGTGGAGTAATTTACAAGGGGATCTATATTCACCTTTCTTTTCAGTAAGGTAATTTACATTTTCCAAAAATTAAAATGTATCTTACTTATTAAGAGTCTTATTAAAGAGACTTTTTACACTGTTAAAACTTATGTTAGCTAAGCCAATGTAACCAACATTATGGCTTTTTACGTGCTAGATAAGCTGACTACTATTCCCATAATAATGTCAATAGTACCTGTGGTAGTGGAGAGGAGTGATTAAGGAATTAACCTAATTTGTAAAATAGAGGTCAGCTATTTTTTTCTCTTGTCAACCACCAGCATGCAATCCAGTCAACCTAAATTAAATCGGGTAAGCAATGTTGGAGGGATCTCTGCCACTGCCGTGCAGGCCATGTCCATGTCTGAACCAGGTCAACATACAGTGGGAGGTCAAACTGCTTGAGGACACTGCACTGCAAAAAAAAAAAGCATCTTACAAAGTAATGTCCCTCGGTAAATTTTCCTTATAATGTGGGGAAAAAATTGTGGACTATAAGAGATTTCTTAAGGAACAGAAGCGTCTATCAGAACTGGACTGTATAACAGAGGTAAAACATAAAGCCTTTAACAGACATTACTCAAAAAACACCACGTGGTTCAACCAGTATGTATGACACTGTAGAAAAATCCATTCAGTCTCATATTTAGTCCAAATTGTCAATTTTTAAATGAGCCAAGAATAGTGGCATCATGAGTGAAAAAAGTTTTACACACATTAAATTAGTTTAATTCATTTGAATAAGTAAAATTAATTAAAAACAAGTTATTTTGCATTGTAAACTGAATGCAGCGCAGGCAATTTCACGTTAGCACATGTCAAGAATCAATATTTAATCTATTCATGCAAAATTGGCTGTTTTTTGCAGGGAAAAAGCAGACACTCACTTACAAATGCACATGTGCATATGCAAAACGAGTGCGGTGAAACAGGGACGACCTTGACGAAACACGCCCCCTCCCCGCCGTCAGCCCGTGGTCTCCAGACAAAGACAATGCTGCATGGCTCAGCTCTAAAGATACCTGATTCACCTCATCAGCAACATTTTGCTCTACCAAGCACACACCAGCAAACACACACAGACATACACACGCACATCATACATACAGCCTTAAACCCCCTACTGCATCCCAAAAGCACACCAGGAGGGGCAGAGGCAATTAACACCAGTAGCAGTGGTTTCCCTTGGGTAATACTGCAGCATTTTACTTTTTTTTCTACTCCTTTTTGGTTTTACCTCACATGCTAGAATGCAGAGCTGCAAATGTGTGAAAAGGTGTGTCACAATGATGACAAAATCTAGGTGTGACAAGCTGCACACATGGTTACCAAAGTAATTAAACTAAAGCAGAAAATACAGAATTATCATCTTTACATGCAACCTGAATAGTTGCTTATTACAACCACAGTTTTTCTTGAATCAGTCTAGTGATTTTTTTCATCTGCTACATTATCTTTTTCAACCCATGTTTTGAGTTACAATTACCCTTCTACTTACTGTTGGGTTAAAAAGCTCTTTAGCATAGAATTACTAACAAACAGCTAGTTAAATACCAAAGTTCTTGTTACCTTTAGGTGTGTTCAGCACATGAAGCGTTCCTCAATGGGTTAAGACCAACAGAAAAAGAAAAAAAAGCCCAAAAGAAAAAAAAGAAGGAAAGAAAGAAATAGAGGAGGAGACAAATATCTCCTATTGTCCGCCCAGCCGGGATTGGTGGCAGAAAGCCCAACCTGACTTCTCCCTTCCCATCTGTCCTTCTGACTACTACTGACACACCAGGTGTGAGTGTTACCGCTTAATACTTCCAGTCAGCAGTCACACACACTCACACAGATCCCCAAACAACCAACTGCCGCACCACCACTCTGCCTATCTCACCACTGACTGACATTACTCCCTCTGCCAGGTCTGCACTGTTGCCAGATCTGTTTGTTTGGAGATTTGAGAGTCAGAGTGTGTCACTCTCAGGATGAAAACAGGAACCTGATTGGTGATTACTACGAGAGAGCTCGGGGTTGAGGGAGGTGGGGGTGGAGGGAGCTAATCCACTCAAAAGGGACGGGCACAAACAGCCCATCCTGCATGTACTATACATGCACACATGAGCGGTGTAACATTTAAATGCACCAGCAAAGTGTATGGTGTGCATGCATAAACTTGCACATAGCAGGTCACACATAAACATCCTACAAATTACATCATCCAACTCGGCAAGACACTCGGCTTTAACACATGCTGAGCATTCACAGAGCATTAATGTCAACAATCATTGGGCCAAAGGCTTGATTAAAGGATCTACGTCCTACAGCCAGACAGACAGATTCACTCCAATCTGGAAAACCCACTCTCTTGATTTACTGCCAAGTTTATCAGGCTGCCCTCAGTTGCCCGCAGAAAAACCTTACATTACATTTCTAAAAGAAGACAAATCTAAAAGGAGAATTAACTTCCAGGCTCAAATTTCTAAAAGTGGCCCCATACAGACACAAGACACAGACGTTTCAAGTAAAGAACATCAGTGCAAAAACTGATGGAAAGATACCGAAAACAACAATCATTACTTGAACGTCACTTAATCCTCGCACTCTTTACCTGCTGCTGGTCTAGAAAATGAGGCTTATCCTAGTGCAACATTCACTGCAAATCACTTTCTCTACTCCTGAGTCCAGTGCAATGCAAGTGCAATATTCAAATCTCAGAAGCTTGCGTTTTTTGATAATGGTCAAATGTGTGACAAAACAGCATTATAATAAGGTACTGTAGTGCTGTAGAGATGCTCTACAAATATTGTTTTTCAAATGTAAGAAAACATGTTTGGTACAGACCCCAACAAATGTTCACATTATCATGATTTTAATAAATGTTTCAGTGAAAATGAAAATTGTGATGCAAAAATCCTTCACACTAATCGGGAATCATATCGCAATTATATCATGCAACCCTAGTGTCTTTAAATCAAGCAGAGAACCCAGCATGTGTAACAAGCTATATTCTTCATTGCCAATATCAAATGATGACAAATGATCGACGAACTTAAAGCCACGTTGAAGAGGCGGCTTATGAAATGCAGTGTGATTGCAAGTGTGTTAATTGCCTTCCTCAGGGCAACCTCAGCATGTCGGCTAAAAACCTCCAGGTAGACGAGAGAAACACTGGCAAAAACCCAAAGCTGGTGAATTTCATTTCTCCTTCTTGGATCCACAGATGGTCATTTAGATGTGCTGTAAATTAATTAAATGAAGAGCCAGTAAATGGGAGTGGGTTGACGTGATTTACAAGCCTGGTGTCCATTAGGAATGAATAGCCCTAAGTAATGTGTGCATTCTATGGCTTTGGGGGTTGGGCACTGGAGGCTAGTCTATTGTCTCTTATAGAGACATTCTGAACACAATGTGGACTGATCCCGTCTTCACCAAACGTCTTTCACTCCAAGTCTTGTGGTACCTTGAGAGGGAAGGGAACAGACCCTTAACTCTGGTGGTTTTCTGTGCGGCAATCTACATATTCAGCCATAAAGAGGCACATGGAATCTGACACAGGGATGTCACACAGACTGGTGTGTATGTGTGTGTGTGTGTGCGTGTGTGTTTGGGCATGAAGACAACCAATCAGCTGCCAAATGTTCAGGCTGTGAGGCTTCATGCTAATTTTCTGCACATATAGATGGATTTTTTTGGATGACTGATAATATCTATTACATTGTTGAACCCACACCAGCTACATTCTAGCCCTCATGCTTAAACTGAACTGAAGTGTCTCCTTTAGTACCTCCATGTCAGCCATGCAGTCAAAGTTGTTATTTATTTCATTTATTTTTTTTTTACACTTAACAGCTTATGTATTACCATTGTAGTTGATAAGCTGATTGACATCATTTTTTTTCATTTTGATAATCATACTACATCATTTCTGTCATTTTTCAAGCAAAAATGCCAAATATTCCTTTGTTCCAGTTTCTCAAATGTGAGGATTTGTAGCTTTTCCCTGTTTAGTAGTTGTATACTTCAGCGATGGGCATGTTTAAACATATCACGCAGAACTTGCTGCCCGTCCCAATTTCCTCTCGATTGGTGTAGTGTTATCGCTCTCCTGTTTCCATTTTCTTCCACATCAACACCTCTCTCGCTTCCCCTCCCCGTTAAATGTCTCGGCTCAATCTCTATAATAAGGTCTCTTTTAGTAAGACGGGCCACGCCGTACAGCTGAGGGTGCGACTGCCTGGAAACTGGGTCAAGGTTACTGAATCTAACTGGTTCTGTGTGCAGTTCTGGCTGCACTGCTGCTCTCAGGCAATAACTCTGCTCTGTTGGGATTTTTTTTTTTATCCCTCGTGAAATCAGTGTCAGCAAAATACTGCTACTGGCTCACACGACTCCAGTATCTCTTTTTTTGATACTGTGTATAGAGTGTGAGATGCTTTTCCCCTGATTTTTACAGTTTTATACATATTACTATAATATTACTACAAATATCTACTGTATATTGTATATATACACTGATCAGCCATAAAATATGACCACATTGGCTTCCCTGGTGTGTATAAAATGCTCTCAACTGCACTGTAAAGCCTGTTTTTAAACTTGAAAGTTGATGTTCAGTCTGTTTAGATAGTCTACTGATGTTTGTCCTCTTAGTGACCTGTGCTCAGTCTATGCTGAGAACAACAGTTCTTCGGCAGAGGATATGCTGAGGCAGAGTCAATGTCATGTCAACATATCAACTTTATTTTACTGCTTATGCAGCTCTCAGGCGAAACACACTGAGATGGACACATCAGGGACAGGCACAACCACACAGCACTGACGGAAAGTTACACCAAACCACCAGACAAATACTAGTACAACGTCTTTGTGGTAGCCATTGTGCCTTTTGTGTGGCGGAATAGTAGGAGTCGCTATTTTAAGATGTTGTGGGAATTGTGGACTCCAGTAGCCATTGTGGCTGTTTGATGAAAGGGTTTTCTGCACTGACAAAAATACGTATATGAACTAGAACTATAGTTTTAGAGTCAACATAGACTTTTTACTGAAATATAATATTAGTCATGCACAACCACATAATGCATAAATGTAGCTTTGTGTTTCTCAAACTTAAGCCCTTGTCTTCCATTAATCCCGTTTTTATTTGAGAGAAGAAAGAAAAATGGGGAAGGGAGTGAGTTTATTGTAAAAAATATAACAGTGTCCAAGCTATTTCTATGACAGATGCACTCCAGCAGCATCACACATTTATAGACAGAGAAATTACTCAATAATCTCACATCAGCAGCAGACAATTAGAATAAAGGGTGTCAGAATGAGCTGTGAGAAAGAGAGAGAAGAGGAGTGTGTCAGTTGAGGACAAAGTGAGAAAGAAAATGACTTGAAAATGATTGAGAAAGGTCAGGAAACAGATAGACGAAGTATGATAGGAGATCACAGAAAGTCAGAATGAAACCCAAAAGGATCCAACAGAAAGAAAGACATGGAGAGTAAGAAGAAAGAAGGAGATATGGGTAAGAAAAGAAAAAGGCAAACGAAGGGAAATTAAAGTAGGAAATGAATAAAGAAAGACAAGGAAAGGGTGTTTAAGGAAAGAATGAAAAAACATATGAGGACATGGTGGGAGAGCAGGGTGAGTGCAGCTCTCTAGGCTTGTGGTTGGTGAAGACAGATAGTTTGGACTGGATGGTTTTTCCACAGCATGACTCACCACAGTGGCTACAGAGCTGCTCAATTCTCCTGTTCCTTTTAGCCTTTCTCACTGAAAACCATACCATATGGTTTCCTAATCAGTTTTGTCGAAAAAGTCATGAATGGATTTATCATTAATTTAAGTATAACTATATTTGTAAATGTGCAAACTAAGACCTGACATTACTCCCAGCTTTTTTTTTTTTTTTTTTTTTTTTTTAAAAGAACCACGACTTCCTTGGATTTTATGTTAACAGCCATTTCATATAATGTCACATTTTTTCAGATGGTGGCTTTTCTACTACTGGCATTTCTTCTTTCTGCTGGCACACACTGGGTACATTTTAAAGGCTCAATTTCAACAAGTGAGAAGCTCAGCAGTTTAAATTCTGACAGATATTTCTCCAAGACTGTAACGACTATTACACACCAACTGTAAAAGCAATTTCGGAGTGGAGAATCAGTTTGCAGAGAGACTTTTTTGGATACCAACCAAACAGGACCAGTATCACAATACAAGCATCAAGTCACTCCTGAGATTTCTGTTCTGTGAAAGTCTTTACGAGAACAAGCTGCTCAAAGCGCACACTCATGACGGACAATTAAAAATGTAATTTCCAAAATAAAATAACAGTTGTTGAATAACTACAAAATAGAGTCTGCAGTCGGTCCAAGTATTTGTTAGTGACTTACAGTAACTTACTGACAAAACATAACAAGCACGTTAAATGGTTTGCTACAGAAATTAGGGTCAAATTATTTCACTAGTAATAGCAAGTATCTCGTTTTGGAAAAGAAACCTTGGTGGTCGAATGCAGCCAGGTTTGAGCAGTACCTTGATGGTGGAGGAGGCGTAGAGCATGTCCTCCAGGCTGAAGTGGCAGCAGCTGTTCAGGTTGTCCTTGCAGAAGTCCTGTATGAGCTGCAGATTGTATAGCCGATCAGCCAGCGTCATGTTCTCCTTCAGACAGACATCTGAGAGGGCAGAGGGAGCCATCGGGTGTCAGGGTCAGTGTGACGTCAGTATGAATTTAATGATTGAAGGGCTTCTGGTTGTAACACACACACACACATACACACACACTTTGGTGGTCAGTGTGCTGGTGGCTTTTGTTTAAGATCAGAGATGAGTGCAGTGTGTTGAGGATCTTTTAGGAAGGAACTGCTGGGGTTTTAAAGCACAATGGTTTTATCAATGACTGACCAATAATGACAGTGGGTTGCCTTTTATCACCCTGTGAGCGGAGCTGTGTGTTAATACATTTAAAGAGTAAATGGTGTTGAGTGATTGATCCTTTGTCCCTGTGATGTTTTCAGTTTAACTGAATTCTTGTGTGTATGGATATGAGTGTGTTTGTTTTTCAGCCCCATTATCAAGACACTTCATTAACAATGTGATGTGATTATATTATCTTTTGTTGGCGTCTGAGCTTTGATTTAGTGAATGAGTCATTCAGGGGCAAGAATCTGACACAAATCTATCCCCAAACACTGTAACTTAAGGTTTTTGAAAATAAAGCGAGGAATAAAAACACAACCTGTATTAAAAAGAGAAAATCACTGTGCTCAGAACTCAGTTATTTGCTTTTTTGGTTTGCAAATTAGATTTTTTTAGCATGTAGTATGGTGTTTCAATGGACAGAAACTATTTAAGGAACAGAAACCTATATATTTTTTTACCTATTGAGTTTGGTCAACAGAGCTCTTACACCTGCATACATCCTGCCCCAAAAAAACAAACACAACTCTTACTTCAGCCCACACTAACTGTAAGCTCCTTACCGTCCAATGGTAGCAGCTGAGGGCAGTAGAAGTGCAGCAGAGCACCCAGGGCTGACCCGTCCGTGCTGTCTTTCAGCAGGTTGTCCACTGGGGGGATCCAGGGAACCGGCTGGGTCGAGGCCTGTTCCTTCCTGTAGCGAGCCTGCATAACATCAAATACATACATATAAACCAAAACCATATAAACCATGTGTCGTAAAATGTTTCCCTCCATTATAGAGATCAGTGCTGCACAAATACAACTTGGCTCACTGATTAATTTTTCCAGATGTTATAATCTTTGTTAGTCCTAATGGTACAACACTGAATAATTATTCTCCAAATGTTGAGCATTTTTAATTCAACACTCTGAGTATTTACGAACATCATTCTAAATGAAAACCTGTCAACACTGCATTCAACGTTTTTTAAGTATAGCAACCGTGAGTGCATCCCAATGGCATGAATAAATAAATGACTTTCTACAAAAACACACACAATCTCTGAGCATAAATGAGATAACGTTAGAGGAGGATCTACAGTGAGAGCTGGCACTGGGACTCTGAAACAATTTCATGCCAAATGCTCCCAGACATCCCATCTCTGAAATTAAATTCTAATAATTTTCTTTTTCATTTTTTATGGCTAATCCCTTGGACTCTTCAGCGAGTCCCAGAGGGTGTCTACTTACACTGACAAGGACGTTCACATTAGCAAATACAAGGAAGTATGTTGCAGAATCTGAGGTCAATTGCACATATTCCTAATGCCTTATTATCATTAACAGAGACTGAAGAGACTAAAGGAGAACTGATTTATAATGCAAATCTATTGCTTTCTCTTAACGGCAAATTACAGATACATCTCCATAATGTGTGGATATGTTGTATGTATGTACAGTAAATCACATGGATACAACACAAGGGAACACTTGTTAATCCAAACAGGGGGAGCATACACAAAAGCCGTGTTTATGTAACAGTGAGGTCACAGGTTGAAACACACGTGTGCTAAAATGATGCCAATCAAGACGGAGACGGAGGTAGGAGGGAGTAGAGATGGTCACTATGGATACATAGACGGAACAACATGATTGCACTGATTAGTTGACTTACAGGCACAAGCTTCATGTACCACTTGGTTGGAGACTGCAGCACAGAAAAGGGGAATAAAAAAACAACAAAGACATACCTGTTAGTGAGATTATTTAGTAATGCGATTAGTAATAAAAGGAAAGACATGACAGCTGTGAGATCAAAGGAAGAGAACCTTCGTGTTATTGAGGGTGCAAGAAAAGCAGCCCACACAACCCAAATAACCCTGAAATTGTGTTTAGCAGAATGTGATGTTACATTTTGAGTTTGCATCTTAGGCTTTTGCTGCTTATATGTCCCCAGAATAAGAGTTTAGTCATGGCCATACCAAATATAAGGGTAGTCTGGAGGGGGTCACAATTTCTCTTAAATGAAACAGCACTGCAACAATAACAAAATAAACAGAAACTGCATATGAAACAAATGCATGGCAAGGATTTTGATTTGAATTTGATCATTAACATAGCATAAACAGTAAAATAATAATAATAATAATAATAATAAACAAATAACTGTATTAAAGCCTAAATGGAAATTACACCAGTGTAAAATGTAGGTGACTCACACGGTTCACCTGTTAATGTTACTCTGAAAGCATCTCCTTTCTCCTTTCCTTTCTCTCAGTTATCAGTTGGGGTTAGTTGTTATTATTAAATTACTTCTGAAAAGACATCTAAAAAAAAATCAGGAATGTGCTGCAATTTAAAAAAAAAAAAAAAATCACAGAAAAAAACACAGAAAAAAACACAGAAAATGTGTTTGATGAATACAGGTTCAATGTGTCCCATCATTAGGCATGTTTCTATACTGACTTTAAAGATACACTCCATGATTTTCAAGTGTTCAAAGTGTCCCAAAATCTTCAACAGTTCACAGCTGATGTGCTGAAAAATACCTGTGAATTGTGCTGAGCTGAAAAAAAACCATCTGAAATGACTCATACAATTAAGGGACACTACATGGTACAAAAATAAATAAACCAGGAACTGTATTTCATTGCTGTTAAACAGAAGAGCATCAGCTAAATACCTACAGTAGCTAAAAGAAACCAAATAACAATCCCAACCAAAATGTCATCTATCTACTGACAATGTAAGCTGATTCAAAAAGAGAGGCTTGCCTCAGTTAAAAGCTAATTCCCACACTACCTTGAGGCATCAAAGAACCAAGTGTGAGTGCTACTCGAAGTGGCTGGCAAGTGCTAAACTTCAAAGGAGAGCCATGACTTGTGACAAAATATAGCTGCTTTGTACCGAAACCCCCAAAATAAATAATAAAGACAGTAAGAGGATGAAAAGATCAATTGTAGCTTTCTTGGGTTTTCCTGATTTGATTAATGTCACAACTCTCTCAATGGTAATTTGAGTCACCAGTAAGAGTTTAACGAGCACACCTGATGTAATCTAATATATAACATATTGGTTAATCAGTTGTAGCTATTTGCCAGTGAATGGACTGCCTTTGAAACCGATATCACAGCATGCATTTGTCTCTCTTGATCTCAGGAAATAAAAATACAGATCTGTTAAAAGGTTGGCAATCATCTTAATGTCACTGAAAGATCAGATCCATGATCAAAAACTTGTTTTGTGCATCTCTATCAGCATTTGGATAGTGATAGAAATACTGTCAATATTTTGAGTAATTTGCACTGTCTGTACTTGGACTGTCTGTATAACTTAATATATACCCTAAATACTGCACAAGTGACAACCTCCTGGGTTGAAAAATTAGGACAGTGCTAAAAACTGCAGTTCCTGGAATGGCCACTTGAGGCTGGCTGCAAGAGTGAGCCAATCTCTAAAAGCACCTCATGTTAAAATGCCAAACTTTCCAGCAGAAATAAAAATGTATACAGCCTAATACAAACATGGTTTTGGTCTCTATAGGTAGTATATAACTCAAATTTAAATTCAAATTTTATTAAAGCTTAAAGTTATGCATAATTAAGGGCGTGACCGCTTTAGTATGAAAGGTGAGAGCTGTCACAGGTGGCAGGTTTCAGCAACCAGTCTTCATTTTACCTGCCTAAGCTTCACCCATGTTCCACACATATTTTTGGATTAACCCGGCAGCCAGCGAAGTACGGTACTGCCAAGATGGCGACGGTCATAGCCGACCACACTGAGCTTCAAAGTGGCTCTTCATGGGTGACGTTACAGGGACTATTTCCATTTTTTTATACAGTCTATGCCAACACCAAGAAATATATACCAAGAAACCGTGAGCTGCAGTGCATTAAAATTCAGTGATATTACAAAGGGTAGTTGTAGGTAGAGAGGGAGACAGAGAGGCAAACTCTGGCCTTACTTCACCTCCCAATGCCATGCGGCTAAAAAGCTGCACTCTCCAATACGTGACCACACGAAGTCAACACAGACTTACTGGCCAAGTTGAACATTTGGTTGACAGGAGGGGAGCATGGCATTAAAGTGAGCAGGGGGAGATCAGACTTGTGGTTATGATCATTTCTCTGGCTCTCACTGAAATTCTGTGTAAATCCAGTATAATCACAAATAAATGTAACAAAAAAGTAGATTCTAGTAAATATTCAAATATTACTAAAACAATTACATATGCAGAATATATTTTCCTTCCACGTTTATTGTATCTTCTATGCCATATGAGTCTGTAAACCAGTTATAATGCATTGGGTATCTTCTTTTACCTGTTTAAAAGCCAATATATCTAAACAAAAAAATAGGTCTAGTCAAACAAAAACAGTAATGATAACACCTCAAAAGACATCAATTAAGCAATCTGTTGAAACTATATTTTTGTTTCAGTCCTACTGTTTCTGCTTATGAAGGATCTTTTAACATTTCTATTTACTATCCAGAGACACTGAGTGAGCAGTTGAGTTTGGGGTTTTGATAAAATGTGTTCTGAAAATGCAAATGGTTCCCAATGCCCACAAAATCGCCTACTAGGGGTCAACCTGAACCTTCGTGACAGGGCATTCTGAATACACAACTCCAAACCCTGCTGCCCCCAGTTTGAGAATAAGATGGAGGAGATGAAGACTGTCTGCATTTAAAGTGATGATATAAGACTGTGGATAAGGAGGGTCAAACAGTCTAAAATCAGTAATAACCACCAAATCAGACCCCTGGGGAGAAGTAAGGCCCTCATCTATCATCTCCTTACAGAGGAGCACACACACACACACACACACACACACACACACACACACACACACACACACACACACACACACACACACACACAAACACACACATTGAACTCATGTGTATGTACACACACATGCACCCCCACCCATCTCCACTTCAATCATCCTGCAACTGTCCCTCTTCCCATCAAAGTTCATCCTCTGAAGCCAGACATGTCCGGTTGAGCTCAGCTTTCGCAACTTAAAAGGATTAGTCCTCTTTTCTCTGTCCTGACGTTGCCTTTGCAGCCCCCCCCTACAGTACAGTAGGTTAAAAGAAAAACACACTGTTGTCCCGGTGAGCTCTACAGTGCTGTCCTAGGAGGGTACGCGTCTGCCTGCGTGACTCACACTGCAGTCATACTGCAAAGACAGAAGGGGGAGAACTCTGGGGAGGTGGGGAGTGATGGAGGGAGGATAGAGGGAGCTGCTAGTCATCAGCAAAAAAACAGTAGTGCACTGTTTTCTGCATGAGTTACTCTTTTTCACTATGTAAAAACTGTTGGCCCCTACAAATGCCATTTTCCATTTTTTCCCTGTTAATGTTGGTTTTTTTTTAGAGGGTCTAAGGATGATGTTGAATGTTGTACTAAAGCAAATTAAAATTTGTGATTTGGGGCTATATACGTACAATTTGACTAGCCTTCAGCCTAGACAAATTCCTCAACTTGTTCTGAGTGACTGTTGTGGCCCCCATTCAACTAATGTTATTGTGAGTGTTTTTAAGCAGACAGTGCTTAGGCTTTATATGGCCTGAACAGAAAAGGGAATAAAATTAGTAATTTTCTGACACAGAACAGTCATAAGGAATACAGAACACCAACATGTGTTGTTATTTTAAATAAATAAAAGAAAACTTATTTGCCCCAAAATATTTTTGGGCTGGCAGATTTATGACCACCCAGTAGAAATTATGCCCCAAATAGACATTTTATAACTGGTACACACATGTAAAAATTATATAAACTGAAACACTGACCAAGAAACAAACAAAAAAAACACTAGGACGGAGGCAAAACTTATTGTTAAATTCCGAATAGCCAAGACGCTGACTGTGCCTTTGTCTGCACACAGCAAGCAGTTGTTATGAAACGTCTCATGTCTGAGGCAGCAAGACCTTAGACGTTAGACACAAACTGAAGTTCAAAAACTGTTGTGACAAAAAGCCATGCAGAGCTGTTTTAAAGTGGGTCAATTAAATCATAGCTGCATTAGATTTCACAACTACAGCACAATGCAATGCACATTACTGTTCTTTGATATCCGTAAAATGATTTCAACTTTAAACTTTAAGGTGACAAAAACACAGATAACTTTCAACAACTGCAGGCAGACAAACTGATATCACACAAGTGCACTTTAATTCATCTGAAAGCGTAGAATTGCATCATCCAATGACTGGAACAATGTCAGCCATAAGCAAGAGAGAGAGACGGTCACCATGAGGACACACGAATATTCCCACACAACACGCACACATCAATCCGCGTGAGCCGCCCCGATCTTAGGGATGATGTTACTGAAGGGCCAACTCTCAGGCTTGGGGGCAAACAAACGGATGTGTTAACATTCACATCATGAGCAGACTACACACGTGAAACGCCAAAGTCAGGGACAGGGTGTCTACACTGTAAAAACTGTTCTTAGTCACTGTCACTCAGTTTCCTTGTTCAGCAAGGATAAAAAAAAATCTAATGATGACGTGATTTCACTTATTTTTGATGTAACTTCACCGTTTAAAAGTCTGTGTGTGTGTGTGTGTGTGTGTGTTGACGAGGGATAGCTGAGGCATGCAGTGCTGCGTCTGCACACTGACTGGTCAGATCAACATCAAACACAGTGGAAGTCTGCACAGCCCTGGGATGGGAACCACACACACACACACACACACACACACACACACACACACACACACACACACACACACACACACACACACACACACACACACACACACACACACAGCAGTGCTCCATTTCAACTCTCTGCAGGCTAAGCCTCATGGGACAAAGTTGCAATATTTTCCTTTAGGTAAACTGTCTAACTCTCTAAACAACAAACTCGTGACAGAGGAGAAGCTCGGAGAGGAGGCATGACCCAGGAGAAGGGGTGAGGACGGGTCTAGACGGATGGAGAGTCTAGAGAGGACGAGTGGAGTTGAGAATGCAGAAAAAAAATATTAATGAGAGAAAAGAGAGAGGAGGCTGAACTGCTGCTGATGAATGTGAACTGAAATGTATCTAACATGTGTTGAGGGTGTTCATGACTTTCAGGGGTCACTGAAGCTTGCTAAAAACCCACTGCATCATTCAAAAACGGCACAAAGGCCTCTTCTCTTGCTGTTAAACTGCTGGCGGTGCATAATAAATGATATGGAGGCGAGAAGCAGAGTCAGAGCATGAAGGATGAAGCTAGAGGTGGAGACATGAGTGTGACGTCATCCACCTGCTCCCCTCCTCCCCTCCTCCCTCTTCTCTGATCTTCACTCTGATGTGTCAGGGTGATGAGTAGTGGTTGCCCACACTGCCAGAACATAACACCAAATGTAGCTAGACTAGTGGCTCACAATGGAGTCATAAAGACACTCCCACAAACTAAGGATGATACAGTTGCAAAATGTTAGATTTGAATCGCTATTGTCATATGAATTTCCGTAGTAATCACATCAAAAAGGAGTATTTCCTGCTCTTTTAATTCAATTCAGTTCAATTTTATTTGTATGCCGCCAATTCATAAGAGAAGTTATCTAGAAGTTATTTTACTGTACTCTGTTGGAGTACTCTATACACAAAACACTCTGTTAGGGTATAGTATTGTATTGTAGGGGGCTAATCCTCCTGCAAAATGCTTCAAACTGATTCTTCAACAAAAAAGCACCAGAAATTTGACTGATACAGATTTAACTTTTACTTTAACCTTTATTGGGCAGTAAATTATTGGACAAATATCTCTGAATACTAGCTGCTTCACAGTGAACACAATGAAAAACATCTAATGAATGGGAATTGTTTGAAATATCCTGGAATACTAAACAGTGAAAGCTGGTCTAAATCAGTTTATTTAATATCTTTTTTGTCTCAACAACAGCACACGCGTTTTCAAGAGACCAGCAACATCATTGCTAGGAACTATGACATCTACATCGCAATATAGATATATTATGGACAGTCCTCAGGCAGATCTACATAATTTATATATAATTATCCATGATTAAAAAAGCTTACAACAAAAAGACTGAAATTTGTGGTGAGGATGAGAGAGGGAAACCAACAGCCATGTTTATTATTCCAACTAATATATTCCCCAGTTTCTCCATCTTGCAGTGTATTAATAAATAAATTGACATCAGAATGAGATATGATTGAATGCATGTTTAATATAGAATATTATTACTGTTAATTGCTGTAAAAGAGGAAAATTGCAGCACTGCCTATACTTGCAGCTTTTCCAGCATGATATGAAGGTAAATTGCATATTTAAAGCTTTGTTTGATGTCATATTACTATATAACAAAATTTCCAAAACATGTATCACACTCACAAGTTTTTTCTCAGTTTTGTGCAGCCCTTATGCACTCGCACAGACACACAAACATGGACCCAACTGTGAAAGCTGTAAGTGTTGATAAATAGCTTTAATGTGGTATTTTGTGAGATTTTTGATCTACACCAGTGAATGAATGCATTATTCAGTAGAACTATGAATGAAATGTAGTATCAAACTACAGAATCCAAACACAGATTACTCCAGTTACTCAAATACATAATACATATACAGATTAACACACCCAAATAAACACAGGCCACACCACTCTCGTCTTACAGCATTAGAAATCACTGCCGATACTAGAGTCAGTTATATAACAGAATTGGACTGCGGGCGGGACCCTGAACATGGGTGACCTCGCACTAAATGACTGATGCTCTAATTAGACCAGAGAACTCTGATCTGCCAGTTATGGCACAAATTAAGAGGGTGAAGATCGTTACAGTCGTCAGAGTTGCTAAACTCGTTATGATGTTAAAGATGTAGCCTGGCATTCTCTCTCTTTCTCATTTAATAAATACAGACTGAGCGTCATCTAAAGCTCAGACATATGTGAGTGAGATTTTCTCCGATGGAGATGGGATTTAAGGGCTTAAGATCTGTTGAGGAAACTGGTGTTAGATAGTGAAGTGACACCAGAGGTCCGGGACAAATATCCGTCAGTCAAAAGGAGAATTGTTGCGGTAAATCCATTAAATGGAGCCGAGGATTAACACTTAGCTTGTTTGAAACTGTCCATCAAACCGGTGACATCTGTACTGTATACTCATGTGCAGTTACTTAAGTATTAAAGCTGGGAGAGGAAAGGAAAAGAAATACACCCACCCGAGGACTCCCAACAGGCTCGGCGTTCTGCGTCTCCCTCTTCCTCTGCTCCTGAGCCACAATGTCTTTCAGATACTCATTTACCTGAAACAGAGAAGACAAACAACATTAAAATTCAGCGGGACGCCCTGGTGCCTCACCTGGCGGAGATGGTGCCCCATGTGCCGGGGCTGAGCCCTTGTTGCGGCAGCCATGGGTTCGACACCGACCTGTGGCCCTTTGCTGCGTGTCATCCACTCTCTTATGTCACTCTACAGCTGTCTCTATAAATTAAAGGCAATAAAAAAAACAAAATAGAAAATAAAATAAAAAATCAGTGAGCCAGCAGCAGCAACACTGAGCAAAAATGTTTTGTTACAAATTGTTTGTAAAAGTTATTATTGAAATTTCTTCAGTGATACAAGTGGGACATTAGCATGAAGACATTATTGATGCATTTCTTTGAATTGGATTATAATGGATTATATTATATACAATAATTATGACTGTTACCACATTAATCCTTCTATCATTACTTTAGCATTATGGTTACAATAATAACAACACTTCATTATCCTTTTAGGAAGAAACAGTTTCTTCCTTAAAACACTGAATCAATTGTAATTTTAATTTAATCAGGCTGAAAGTTCAACTGAATTTGATCAAATATAGTCTCACTCAACCCTGCACAAAATTTACAGTATGCCCCCTCAAATTCATATGGACCAAGTTAAAGCAGGAATCAGATGTTAAGCTGGTGAATTTTGGATCTTTGGAACACAAAAGGACTCCAACAGAGAGCCATATGTCCGACCAGTAGGACTCCATGACCACACCTGTTAGCTATTGTGATTGTGTGTGTATGTGTGTGTGTGTGTGTGTGTGTGTGTGTGTGTGTGTGTTTAAAGCTCAGAGTTGGCGGCAGCCCAGTGTTCCTACTAGAAGAATGTAAACAGACTGGGCCCTGTAGCACTGTATGGAGGAGTCAGAGCCATCTGTGCATATGCAGGCCATGTAGCCGAACACTTATGCCTAAAATGTATGTAAACATGTTTGGAGAAAATATGACTGTTAAAGAAAAGAAAAGTAGATAAACATAAAGTAGTGAGCACACACACACACACACACACGGCAAAAAGCTACCATGCAAGGTGCTGGCCTGACCATCGGGAGCAATTTTGGGAAGCACAGTTCGCCATGTGAACAGGAGGAGCTGGGAATCGAATTGCCAACCCTGGATGGCCCGCTTCACCTCCTGAGCCACAGCTGCTCCCTCTCCCACTATCTCATGTTTATTGTTTCCCGAATTCCTATTCTCTTGCACATACTATACAGTGAGTCATGGACATGCTTTACACAACCCATGTAAGAACATGCCATTTTTTGTATCCATAACACTCTGCTAAAAGGTTTTAAAGGCAGTGGAAGTAGTAAAAATGGGACAATCCCACCTTTATTATACCCGTTTTCTTGTGTGGTGTGAGTTCACCTGTACACGTCATATGGTATAACCTTAGGGCATGAGGACAAAGTGGTGTACATGTAACAGATTTGATGGCATTTAGGTCAGTGTTTTTTACTGTAATATCTTGCAACCCCACTGTGCACTGTGGAATTTCAGAGCTTGAGCTCTATGAGCCCAATACTGGTGAAATGCCCCTGAGGGAAGATATCTGCAGTAACTTAGGAGCACCAGCCTGCTCCTTGGACAGATACTGAACAAGGTTATGATACGGTATCATCCCAATGAAGAGGAACTTACAATCTGTCTTTGTAGTTACAGCATATCTGCCATTTAAAAAAAAAAAAACATGCATGAAAATGTACACATGAATATGTTGACACCTAATAAAAAAACAGTATATGCTATAGTAGATTCCCACTTACCTGAATGTGGACACAACACCTGGTATCATATATGAACTTCAGGATAGAAAGGCTAGTGGACCACAGGCTGATTGAAATTAGGGCAGGACTTCAGCCGTCAATAATGTTTTGTAAAAAACAGACACACACTCACATATACCATTACCCACCTTGTTGATCCAGGTGGTCACTGCGTCCTCCGTGTCATATGGTGTTTCCACCTCAGGGTCGCAGGGTGAATACTGACGAATACAGGTCACCACCTTCTCCACGCTAACCGTCTCCACTGTGTACGCCATCATCAGAGTGTCAATCATCGCCAAGTGCGCACTCTGGAAGACAAACATTTTCAGGGTGAAAACAAGTAGTTTTGAGGTAGCTGGTGATACAAACGTGCTCAACTGTGGTTGGTTTGCTGCCGATTGTAATATTTGAAGTATTTTAGCCAATGCTCGCAGTCGTCGCCACTAAACAATGATAACAATTCGCATAAGCCTACAGTCCTATATCACCAACTTCAAATGTAAAACCCAACTGCAAAGGTGTAAAATGGTATATGATAGGAGAGTGATAGATGAGAAAGTAAGCCCAGTTTGTTTTCTTGACGGTGCATCTAAAAAGACCGATGTGACCACTTTGCTCTCACAGGAACTGGACCATGACAGTGTTGTAATCTCAGTAACAGATTGAGCTGTCACACAGCAAAATAAATAAATAATCAAGAACACCCAGACGTATAAAGAAATAGCTCTTCCTACATGTTACTGATTGCAGACAAAACCAAAGACCTGTCAGGCCCAGTGAAACCGAGACATGAACAAGCCAATAAGAAGTGCGTGAGCTGGACTGCAAATATATATCTGAGCCAGTTTAATTAATTAATTAATTTAATTAACTTGTAAGTCTGTTCTCATAAGTAAAAGTTAGAAAAAAATCCAGTTGTAACTTTTTGTACCAAAGAAATTACATTAAAAGTTAAATCTGAAGTTAAGAGTCACCGCATTAGCATGATACCGCAGGTGAAAGGGGAGCAAGGCATTGAAATGGCAGTGATTTATAGAATTAGACCAGCATCCCAAATCCTCTACTGTGCTGTAAATCTGAAACAGTCTTCAGTCAAAGGTTCCCTTGTGGCTGTTGCCCTGGAAACAAGTGCATTCATCCCTGTCCAGCTTGCTCACAGCGACTGCTAGCATTTGAGAAGCCTGAATAAGACATCTTCCTGACAACAGAGTCCAATTAATAGAGCTGGCATCCATTATAAGTTGCTCTGCTCATTATCACTGACTGGAGGGTTTTATTTTTAAATACTACAAATATAAATCCGTATTTGGAAACCATTAAGAACATATAACAGTATGTAACTGTGAACATTTTCATTTAACTTACATGTCCTTTTCATTGTGTAAGATTGTTGTTGATTCACTTGTGCTATCAATCAGTTTGTGAAAGTATGTCAGTTAATTTAATAAGCATACTTAATAAGTACTCCTGCACTTTGGCTCCGCTCCCAAACGGAAACTGTTCTATCTCATTTCAGTCTCTCTTCTGATACAAGGAATGAAACAAGGGAAAGTGTGGTTACCAGTTTTATGCTGCAAAATGCAAATATGTTTACAGTCAGTTTCACTAAGATGCAAAGCTACAATAGGAATAGGCATTTATGTAAATCCTATCTTCTCAAATGATGGAGCCCTGTTTTTGGGATGATCATCAATCATTATACACAATATTTTCTGCCTTGTTTCTTGACATATGTTCTCTACAATCATTACTAGTCACGTTTGGTCTGATTTCCAACAAAAAACAAGGACTCTAATCATGGACAGACCAGTCATTTATGGACTACAGTATGTTGTAGGCGACAACTTTCAACTGTAAATGCAAAAGCTTCATCATTCCATAGGCTGACGAGAGCAAAGTTCTGATGTATATTTTAATAGAACTTTTTTCATATGTTTACACAGAGACATGATGTATTCTTGTAATAATTTAACCTATTAGCTTGTGTAGTATTCCATATATGTCAGTCATTACACTAATCAAACCAATCTTTACACAGTATCAACAATGTCAAACTACTTAATGAGTTATGACAGGTATTACAGGTATGAGACAAGTCAGACAACTGTTGGTGTGTTTGCCCTAAGGTCAGAGTATAATAAATAATCTAACTGAAGTCACAGTTCACTTCCCCAGGATCACACTGTTTACAAGGAGCAACACATTTCTTTTAAATATTATTATATAAAAATAAAAGAAAGTTACAGAGAAGATGTCAGTGTCTGTTCCACAATAATGTTCCATGCTAAATAATAAATATTTTGATTAAAATAGAAGCAACAAGGAATTTAATTTAATTTAATTTCCATTTGAGTCTGTTATATTAAAGAATATTAGGGCACTCAAACTCACATATTGATTATGGGTCAGTTTGTATTTTTAGTCCAGGATCACACATAGTTTTTTGTTTTTGTTTTAAAGTTTACTTTTGAAGACAACTAACTAATTAGACCATGCTAACTAGCTATGTTACATCATGAAACAGATACTATGTTATGAACGGTAAGTTCAAAGCAGCAAAGTATAATTTATCATTTGCATAAACATTATTTCTCTAGGTTAAACCAGGCCGATACAGAAAGTACAGAGCCAGTCAGAAAACAGTCCTATCGGCTCTTGTGCTCACACATGTTTACATACTGAACATATTTTAAGCAAGGTACTATACTGACATGTATTTAATCATTATAATATTCAATGTGGGTAGTTATATAAGCTAAATGTGGAAATTCTTAAAGTTAAATAAAACAATGTCTCTGCTGCACCAGAGTGATATGGGTGAGGCCTGTGCAAACCCTGTAATCTGTGTATTTTAGTTCTTGGCTCCCACCTTTAGCCTCTAATTATCTATACTGTCTTGTGTTTCCACCACCACACAATACCCAGGAATCAAACCACCAAATATTTATACTTAGGCAGCTGCTTTTCCATGAGCTAACTCAATTAATCAAAGTAAAGTTAACGTGGCCCCTTGAAGATCCACAATGATGCAGTGCACCAGAGTCAGAAAACAAAGGATTACAAACATCACTTGAGGGTTTTATGGTGGGAGAGCTGTTGAAGATGTTAAATGAATTTTCTGTGTCTCATTGCATTAGCTAAATGCTTAATTTCCACTACCTCTGATCTGGCAACTGAGCAACAAACCAATCCCATTTAATAATACACTGCCAAGATGTTTCCTATTGGCCTTCATTTAGCCTGTCTAAACATTGTAAAACATTATCTCAGAGACACACAAACAACCAAATGCCCCGCGCATACACATCCTGTTATCAGTTTGCGGAGCACAGTTACAAATCTGCATATATTATATATATAATATATATTCCCGCAAAAAATGATCAACTCCAAGCAAGACCAATTATAAAAAGGCCAAGGGACCAGCGTCATTCCTCAAAGGCCTCTTTCCTCTCCTGTTTCCTCCCGCCTGCTGGGCAATTTGAGGATATTGATTTGGATATGCTGTGGTCTGATGAGATAAAATGACAACAAGGAGAACTAATCTTGTTTACTAAACCACAGACCTGCAGTCTCTAATCATACTGAATGATACCGGGTCATTGTGTGGGAGGAAGAGGATGTTGTAGGATCACATGCTCGTTTCAGTTTGTGGGTGTTTTTGACACTGGAATCACGCATGCTTTAATGTACAGTATGTGTGACAAAGCAACGTCTTTCTGCAATTCAAAGTCAGAGATGTTAGCAATTAGTGGTAAAGTGTGAAACCTGCGGTTTCATTCTCTGTGTGCAAACTACACCAGTTAAAAATGTAATTAAATGGATGAGGCTATGGAGCAGGAGCAGGAGTAAGACCCATTACAAAGAGGATGAAGAGTGATGCAGAAAAAAGGAAGCAGTTTACATAGAGTCAGGTATGTCACTAAAAATCTAATTATGTTTACCTACATTTAATCACTAGAAATCCTGAAACAAAGTACAATTTAGAGGGTTAGGGTTATGTAAGTATTGCTAGTATTTTTGTTTGAATTTCAAACAGTATTTGGGACGATCAGGGCAAAAGGAATTTGACTGACATACTTTCCTCTTGCAGTTTTACATTTTTTTTTATTGTTAACCGTGACAAAAAAAACGGTCACAGTAAAAATTTTGGTTGTGATATTTTAACATCAATCTTGCTGTATGCAGCCTTACAGAAGCCTCATGCTTTTGAAGAACTCAAAAAGCATCTATGGATCATACTGAGGGGCGTAATGAGTTTGACTCTTGAAATCAGAAAGGACAAGAAGTATTTCAGCTGCACTCAAGTCTTTGACTTCAAAGTGATGACTGGAGACATCTCAACAAACACGGGTTTCTGCATGTCCACTTTTATGCCCCAAATTTTCAAAACTTGACATTATTCAGCAATTTAACCTACCCTCAATTTATGACAGGATAGAGTCTTAAAGCTAAAGTGGCACCTGCACACTAAGAAATCAAGGTATGGGAATGAACCTATATGGGTACAAATGCTTTGTCGCATTAAAATTAAACGAAAGGTCCACAGTTATTACCTTAAGGACCTTTTTCGTACCTTACAGGGTACTTTTCTGACAAATGTACCTTTGGGTACCCCTATTTCTCTGTGTGTGGGACACTAAAACACCTCACTAATAACATGTATAATAGCAGTGGTGCTATATAAACCAATGCCAAGGCTCCTAACCTGATCTGCTACTGATCTGTTATAACAGTGAATCTGTAAGTAAACCATATTTAATACCATCATATGACAAACTGATAACAAAAATATCCGTTTATCAGCTGACCCTATAAAAAGAGCTTCTATGTTTGTTCTATGTTGGATCAAAATAGATGCAACTGTCTCACGCTACTTGAATAAAGTGGATAATGCCTCTTTAAAGGTCCTCCGCAGTCAGTATTCACAAAGCAAATATAAATAGCAGATGGTGTTCTGCAACTGAATGAGTTCTGACTAAGAGTTCCTGCACTGTGTAACGCTACATACATGGACAGTTAGTGAAGGATCAGCTGACCATGTGTAAATGTCAGATGAAAGCCGGAAGGAAGAAGAAAGGCTTCAGTAACTGGATGAATGTAGAGTGGTAGTAGGATGGAGAAAAGGAATAGAAGAAGGGAGGGACGAAGAAATGGAAGCAGAAAGAGGTAGATCCCTCACTGCCCAAAGAAAAGTTTAGCCTTTAGTTGTTTGCTTGGTCATTTTTCTCTGTAATATCCCATTATGTCATGTCTCTAACCTTTAGGTTTGGTGAGTGCATATGCTTTCCTTCACCATTGCTTTACT